CTTCAATATTGAAATGATTTAAAGTGTATAAGTAAATTGTAAAAATAGTTACGAACTTGTTTTTGAATTCAGGCAAAATTTAAAAAGTCACAAAAAACATTTAATTAAAACTTGAAAACAGTCAAAATTTCAATAATTAAAACCTGCCAGCCGTCGGCGTTATCTTCCAAACTGCGTGAACAGACAGGTTGATTGGCTGGATGTTGAAGAAGATGGATGTGACCAGTGAAACCAACAATTTTTTTTAAATTTTACATTCCCGAGTTGCAATCTCAGGATTTTAATTGTGAAAAACTTGTACCAACAAAAGAGAAAATTAAAATTGAAATTATCAAAAAATATTAAAAAGAGAAAAAAAAGTAGGTAATACCCAGCAAACCTTTCATAAAAACATTACGATTCAAGTAGAATTGTTTTTGAAAACTAGAATATCTTATATAGAAAATTATTTTAGAATGAAATTATGAAATCTAGGACAAATTTAAAAATTTCTAAAGTAGAAAACAACACAGGATGAAATAATTTCATTAAAACAATTCCATCTAGAAACATTTTTAAATGTTTCAGACCGTGTCTTCTTAAACTTCATAACGAAATTTAATTAGATATGGTTTTTTATTTGATTTCACTGCTTGTTTGTTCTTGTTATTTTTAAAAATTTATTTATGCCACAAAAATCATCTTAATAGCATTTTTTTCATTTAAAAAAATAAAACAATGGAAATAAAAACCTACTTAATGATGCGAATTTGAACGCTAACACGTGCACACACCACACCAAAGATATCAATTTTAATCATACATTACATAACATTAACGAATATGTCAAATGTTTGTTTCTGCCACATCATAAAATACTTCAGTGTTTTGTCTAGACGTAGAAGCGCCACCAAATAAGCAACACACTGTCATTACTGCACAATAAATAATCACCCCACACTTTGACATTTAAAATTGACACATCTTTGTCACTCTATATATATATATATATATGCAGGTCCTAACATTCTAAATGTCAACATCCAAACCAACCATTTCTAATTTAGGAATTAACAAGCAGAAATAACGCGCGCATTAATACGTGTTTAAGGACAATCCTATTAAAATAAATTACGCCGTAAACTTTCTTTCGTGATAAGAAAATAATAAAAAAAATAGACTAAACGAAATGTAAGGAAAAAATGAACGACCGAAAATTATAGCAAAGAGTGAATACAAAAAAAGAAAGAAAGGGAGAGATGGAGTGAGAGACGAGAGAAAGAGTAGTGTCGGAGGAAGAAGAGAGGAAAAACCAGACAGACGGGAGAAAGTTTAAAAAATATATTTTCCCGGTAAAAATTAAAATATGAATAAAGTGAATGAGTGATAAATGATGATCAAGAAAATGAAGAAAGCGCTAAAAATGCAAAACGGAGAAAAATAAGAAAATGATAAAAGAAGGAAAGGAGAGATGGAAAGAAAAAATGTGTGAGACTCACGCGCCAGTTGACATGCTTGCACAAAAGTGAAATTTAAAAAAAAAATTAATTCCCATTGGCAAAGGAAGTGATAGGATGACGTAATGACTTCTGCTTTTGAAATTGGAAAAACCCAAAATGAAGAGAATGATGATGATGATGATTATTATTATTATTATTATTATTATTAAAATCAATAATTCACATATATAAATCGAAATCTTCTCCGTGTCCATTTTATCAAATTTCAACAATTCCTTTGAAGAAATGCCCAATACTACGTACAATTCTCCACACACTGTTCGTTAAATGTTGGGGTATTTGCAAAATTCCAACCTGTTGGAGGAAGGGCTTCACAATCCTCACTTATATAAAAGAAAAATTAATTGATTTAAACCAGGTCTGGTGCAAAGCTCCTGGAATGAGTTTGAGGATCGACAAGTGCTTCTCATTTGGCATAAGAAAACGAAACAGTGTTCACGCACAGTTTCTTCAAGTGCCGTCTATCGACGACGAACTTATTCTTCAAGTTGACATTGGAGGTACAATTTAAATTAAAGATCTTTAAATATTACTTGCCATCACGGTTTGCGTTTGAGTTTTGCTGACCTGGACTGAAATGAACTTGTATCCCCTGGTCACCGAAGCGGTAAGAACATTGCTGTCCTTGCCAATCAGTAGTTCAATCCATCAGAAAGCCTGTCGCTCCCCTATCAGTCAGGGGGCTTAAATGTTAGATGAATCTACAATTTTGCCGAATCTTTAAGAGTGAAACTCCGAAACTACACAAAGTCAAACGCAAATGTAGAAATAAAATGTTTATGGAGTGAGTCATACAGTAGCTACATAAGATTGACAACTTGCTTCCAGATACTAAAGACATTAAACCGACTCTCAGGACGTTATCGACCCGGCAAAAGAAAGCAGAACTAGAACATTTGTTATCGCTCCGCTGCTAAGGAGCAATTTTAAAATCGATTAAAGATCACATTCCTGCGACAAAATTCACAAGTCAATCAAGAAAACAAACATATGAACCACCAAACCAACCAAGCAAACACACACACAGATAACCAACCAACCAATCAATCGGCTAACCAACCAACCAGCCAAACATGCAGACAACCAATCAAGCATGCAGACAACCAATCAAGCATGCAGACACCTATCCACAAACCAAATGAGGTTTCTGCCTTCATAGCCTCGTCAAGCAACTCCTGTCTGCAAAGTTATTTCAAAATTAACTTAGAAATATCAAAAACATGAAAAATTAAATTTAAATAAATATCGCCTTTAACCGGCAACAATCCTTATTTGATATATTTTTAAAAAATATCTAGCCTTACATAATCAAACACAACACAACATAATGGATGCAAATAAGAAGTTGATACTACCTACCTCTTACAATAACATTAAAAATCATGGAAACATCAAGTAAAATTTATTTGCACTTTTTCTTCCCGTCAAATTCGAATAATAAAATTCCGGGCATATTTGAGGTTTCCATGTGTCTGTAAGTATTGTAATAATTTAAATTATAATATAACAATATAATTAATTAATTAATTAATTAATTAATTAAAAGATAAAAAATAATATAGTAATAAAACATAAAAGTTGTAGTAGTGTTGGTGTTGGAAATTTATATAGCGCCACTCTTTGTTAAACTAAGAAGCGCAGAATAGACGTGTTTTTTTATGAGGAACATTCATCAATATTTCAATTTTGTTATTAAGAATAACAATTATAATTATATTAAATATAATATAACGAATAATAATAATAATCATCATCATAATAATCATAATAATAATAATCATAATCATAATCATAATCATCAACAATAGAAATTCTTTTATTCATGTTATTTTAAAAAATGTAAGCACTTATTTGTAGTGTTGCGGTATATCAATATACGAAGCAGCATAAATGCACCTATCTTGAAATAATAAAAATAACCACAATGATAATAAAAATAATAATGCTCTATGTTTAACGCAACGTTGAAAATAATCATCACCATGAATTAAATTTGTTTGCTTGCGTGTGTGTCTGTGTGTAAGGATGTGTTTGCGTGTGCGTGCGTGCGTGTCTGTTCAGGAGAGATTCAATTTACAAAATTCAATTTATGATATTCCTCTGATGTTTTCATTATTTCTATTATTATCATCGTTATCATCTTCGTCATCATCATCCTCATCATGTATTTCTTCATCTTCATCATCATCATTATCGTCGTTTTCTCTCGACATCATTACATCAGCTTGACCACAATGACATCCTGAACCATCTAAAAGCATCAATCGCTAATAACATCAACATCAAATGCATTCTTACATCATCATTTTATAGTACATTAGAGGTCTGAAGTTTGGATACATTTTGCGAATCGAATGTTTCGCTTACATATCAAAAAGAAGCCATCAGAAATTTTATGATTTATTTTAGTTTTTTCAATTCAATATTCTCCTAAAAAAAAAACCTTTTTTTTGATAAAGCAACGCTCAGCGCGCAACTTTTTGCACAGTTATTCTTCAAAAAAGCTATTGAACTATCAAATTTTGTTCGAAACTTCAGGTATTTCAGTAGATTAATGAATATGGTCATATCCAAAATCCATTTGGAATCCGAACGATTCTGCGAATCGATTAATTTATAAATCGAATGGGTAAAAACCGATCGATACCGAATATTTTTTGTACCTGAAAATAAGTATTCCTGGCTTTTATATATTGACACGAGCATCAATACAGCCTACCCACCACAAAATGTTTCATCAGCTCATCACTATAACGTAAACAATATCAACAATAACGAATTTATTTAAAGATAAAACTGATTTTAATCATTATCATCTTCGAATGTAAAAATTGTTAGTATTATTATTATCGTTACCACCAACACTATCATCATCATCATCATCATCATCATCATCATCATCATTGCATCAACACCATCATCATCACCCACGACAATCCTTTCATTTTTCATTTTTCTAGTTATTCCAGGCATCCATCTTTTTTTATTTATCTTCCCACTTATTTCCCCAACAACATTTTTTATCACCCTCACCCTCACCACCCTCACCACCTTCACGGAAGTTTTAAATTCTAAACATTATCACAACTAATATAATCACCAGCACTGTCATCATCGTCATATCCTTCATCATTTTCACTTATCAATTACTCACTTTCTACTCATTCATTCACTCGTTCACTCGTTTACTTATCTACTCATCCGTCTCTTCATTTATTCACTCATTCACTCACTTGTCTACTCATTCAATACACTAATTCACCCAATTATTCACTCACTCACTTACTTACTCACTCACTCTCTCACTCACTCACTCACTCACTCACTCATTAACTCACTCATCAGCATATTCAAAGAGAAACCATGTAACGAATTGTTTTTTAAACTTCCTTGCAAGCAGCAAATACGCATACATAAGTTGCATACGCACACACACACGCACACACAATTACATTGATAACAGCTTTCTTATCATTTACAACATCATCATTATCGCTTGTAGACATCATCGTCGTCCTTTTATTATTTATTAAATTTAATTTAGGATTTTATTATATAATAATTATAATTGTAATTATTATTATAGGTAAATAATTGTATCTTGCCGTAAGTTGCTGATCCAATTTTAGCAAGCATTAATTCCGGATTATAAATTTTTTTCAACTTTTTTATCCTAATCCGCCTGGGATAAATTTTGTTTGTCTTAAAAATTTAAACATTTATGTTTATATTTCATGTTTATTTCCTGTTCATTTGTTTATTTTTATCATAATTAGTTTAGATTTGTGATAATTAAAATAACGCAGGAAAAACATTTTGGATAGAAATAATAATAAGTAAGAGTAAAAATAATAACAACAACAACGACGACAACAACGACAACAACAACAATATTTTATAATTGAAGTAAAGTTCAGTGTGTTTGTTTAACAAATTCTTTAGATGAGGAATTAGCTTTTGAACGAGCGGGAAAAAAATTAGCAAAGAAGATAGAAAGAAAGAATTAAAGGAAAAATAGGTAAAAATAAAGGAATAAAGATAGAAGGATGGTTAAGACGGCAGTAACCAGGAATCCTCAACTGCTCATCATCAGACCGGAGTCTGAACTGGAGTTTGTCGGTAAGTTGGGATGAAGGAGATGATGACGGTTATGATGATGATGATGATGGTAATGTTAGTGGTGATGATGATGATGATGATGGTAATGATGAAAGTGATGAAGACCATGATGATGATGATGATGGTAATGATGAAAGTGATGAAGACCATGATGATTGTGATGATGATGGTGATGATGAAAGTGATGAAGACCATGAGGATGATGATGATGGTAATGATGAAAGTGATGAAGACCATGATGATTGTGATGATGATGGTGATGATGAAAGTGATGAAGACCATGATGATTGTGATGATGATGGTAATGATGAAAGTGATGAAGACCATGATGATTGTGATGATGATGGTGATGATGAAAGTGATGAAGACCATGAGGATGATGATGATGGTAATGATGAAAGTGATGAAGACCATGATGATTGTGATGATGATGGTGATGATGACGACAACGACGATGATGGTTACGATTATGATGACGATGACGAAAAAATTGATAGAATGCCGATGATGACGAAGACAAAATTGGGAAGGATGATAATGATGATTATGATGACGAAAATGATATAAATGGTTATGATAATGACGTCATTGCTTAAGCTGATACTTTTTTTTTATAAAAATAATGATGTTGTCATTCATCGCGTAAAGTCTGTTATGATTGTGATGACGAAAATGACAATGATGATGATGATGACGTTGATGACGATGACGATGATGACGGTGGGGGTGGTGACGACGACAAAGACGATGATGAAGGCGTTTTTAAATTTTATTTTGTCTATGTTACTTGAAAAAATTTAAATGACGAAGTTGAGTATTTTACAATTTTCAAAAAGCGTTAGTATATTTTTGTTGTTGTTTGTATGCTGTAGTTGTGTGTTTGTTGTGTGTAATTGTATATTTATTGTTTTTGTGCTGTTGTACTTTTTATGTTTGTTTATATTACTTCTATGTTTTTAGTACACTTTCGTTTTTTGTACGTTGTAGTTGTACGTTTGCTTCGCAGTGCATGCAAGTGCAACAACAGCCTGTACATTTTATTTTAATGTACCAGCTTAAATTGCTCGTGCCAGATATTATGCAGAACTTTAAAAAAAAATTAAATGAAAATATCTGTTATAGCCGTAAAAATAATTATTTTATGTTTTGCTTTTTTTGTTTTTTTTTCTTTGTTATTGTTTTTGTGTAAAATGTTTTTTCGTCTTTTTGCACTGAATTTTTTCTCGCCGTTTTGCCGCCGCAGTTTGTTTATTAGATGAATTCTCTACCACCGTTTGCTGATATGCTTTTTGATGGAAGTTGTAAAAACTTTTTATACTGGGTTTGTTTGATATTGTTGTTGCTGCTGCTCCCACTGTTGCTGCTGCTGCCATTGTTGCCGTTGCTGCTGCTGCCACTGTTGCTGCCACTACTTTTAAGGTTGTGTCAGATGTTGTTTTGATGTTTTGGAGTAAATGTATTGTTACATGTTTTTGATGTATACACTAATTTTCGGTTCTGATCTTGTTATTTTGGTTTATATCTTAGTTCTGTGATCCATTTATTGTTAATTATATTTAACTGAAAATTAAACATGTGGTTCGTTTTTTCGTTATAAAATTGCTAACTTGTTTGTTTTTTGTTTTGGTGTAGTTTTTCATATTGGCGGTTTTTAGAACACAGAAAACACCAGAAAAACATTGTTATTATTTTTATAAACACAAATTAAAAAAAAAAGAAAATGTATTAGTTTGAAGAGAATGAACAACTGATGACGTGATGAAAATTTCGGTTCAAAAAAATTTCCCACCGCTGTTGCCTGATGCAATGTTTGTGCTGTTTGTTGGACGCTATTTGCCTTCCAAATATTATTTCTCATGACGATGATGACGACGACGATGGGGATGATAATGATGATGATGACGACGTTAATGATAATGATAATTATTTCAACAGCAATAATTATGAAGTCAGGTTGATTGACAGCGAAGATAAAAAAAACTGAACGTAAAATTTGATTCGACCGAATAACCACATTAAATATTGATGGACCTGCCTTTCCTGTTAAACTTATTTATCGCGCTTCTAGGCACTAAACTATAAAATTAATTTTTCTCGTACACAATATATAAACTTATTTTCTTCAATATTTACTAAATTTATGCTCACACACATATATGTATCTATGTCAAACGTATGTGTATATATTTGTGAGTATGTGTGCATGTGTGTGTGCATGTGTATGTTTTTGAGTGTAAGAGTGTGCGTGTGCGTGTGTGCGTGTGTGTGTGTGTGTGTGTGTGTGTGTGTGTGTGTGTTAGTCTCAAAGAACGCACTTGTCTGAAGAACGTAAGACACGAAGGCGTAAAATTTAAAATTTTGCAGATATGATTAAAACACGCGATGCATCATTTCCACAGTTGATCATCACTATCATTATCACTTATCGTCATCATCAACATCAATTTTCATCATTATCAACATCAATTTTTATCATTATCATCATCACCTATCAACAACAACTGCCAACGTGCAAATCACCAAATTGATCAGCTGACATATTCGTTCTTATCATTAAAAGCTGCATCATCTTAGTTCATCGTCATATTTATATTAACCATAGTGACAACGTACAATTCATTTTCATTATCATCATCGTCATTATCAAATGATAATGTCTCGACATGAAATGCACTGAATTTTGTGACATCTTCATCGTCGTCATCATCATTGACATTGCCGTGAAACCATCAATTAGGTTATTCAAAAAGTTTTCGTGATATTAATAAATTTTATTTAAAAAATTGTGATGTCGTTGTTCGCGTCATTTGTCCTTTTTCTTTCATTGTTTTTCTGTCATCCTATCTAAAAATCATCGTCGTCATTACTTTTAGCAGCAGCATCATTTTGATGTTATCATCCCTCCCCATCCATCCTAGCCACCACACACCACACACACTCCAGGTGATCCGAGCCAGGTGAACACCTCTCAGATAGTCTTACAGAACACGACGGACAGGAAGATCGGCTTCAAGGTACTCACCAATGCACCACACCTTTTCTTTGTCAGGCCTGCTTTCGAGGTCATCTTGCCCTACAGTCAGTGCTGCATCAGTGGTCAGTCTCAGTGCTCATTGGTTTTTTTTGGCGTTTTGTTGTTTAATTTTAGTCGGTGTTTCGATTTCTGCTTAATGGTTTTGCATTTTGCTGTTTTTCTGCACCGGTAAAATTTTGTATGATTATTTTCACGTCATTTCATTATTAATGCCGATAAGAATTTTTAATCATTCAATGATAGAAAGATTCATTTTAGCAAGAGGTTAATTTTGAATGGATGATTTGGTAGTATTGACCAATTATGTGAAATATGATTCTAATGATTCAACAAATGATCACCATCTTCCAGTGATGGTCCAACCACCGAACTCAAAAGAGTTAGAGAACTTTCGGCACCACAAGTTAATGATCCAGTCCATCGTTGTTCAACCGGAGAGTACTGAAAGTATCGATAAATTTATCGTAAGTATCGAAACCGATGGTCGGTCACATCCGCCGCACTCATGCGTCGCTCGTTTGTTCATTGATTTATTTGTCTGCTTAGTCATTTACTCATTTAATCGTCACTCATTTATATGTTTAGTTATTTATTCATTCACTCGCTCATTCATCATTAATTCACTCATCATTCATTCATTCATTCATTCATTCATTCATTCATTCATTCATTCATTCATTCATTCATTCATTCATTCATTCATTCATTCATCATCAATTCACTCAATAATTCATTCCTCCATCCATTCATCTATCGACCGATGAAGATCCATCCATCATTCCAGCTTCGTATATTTTAAAGAACTTTTTGGCTTCTATTTTTATCCGCGATTTATTACCCTCGCTTTCTTTTTAAACTTCATAACAGATTTTTCCAACATGTCTGAAAAAAATAAGCAACAATTAATTTTTGCTATTTTGCAAAATGTTTGCTTGTTTTATAAAAAAAAATAAAAACTCAAAGAAAAAATAGATTTTAAATAAAATAAAAAAATAATATTTAAGGAAAGTATAAAATAAAATTTATAAAATAAATAAATGAGAGTAAATGTCCCTATCGAATCATTATTTGAAAAAAAAATGAATGATAAAAATGGTTTCACATTGATTCCACACGGTGGGAATAAACTTTAATATTATAACTATAAGTAAAATAATTATTAATGAATTTATAATATTAATTACTATTAATACCATAATTATTTCCCCTCGCAGGCCAGAAACGCCAACAGTCCAGAAATTATGGAGACCAAACTAATTTGCGCATTCAAGACAACCTACACATCGGTTAGCTTCTCATCTCCTTTTTAAATTTTAAAAAGCAAGGAAGTGATTTACCTGATGTGGAAGACAGAGAGAGAGAGAAAGAGAGAGAGAGAAAGAGAGAGAGAGAGAAAGAGAAGAGAGAGAGGAAGAGAGAGAGAGAGAGAGATTTCAAGAAATATAGAGAGAATGACAGAGAGAAACAGTGAGAGAGAGAGGAGAGAGAGAGAGAGAGGAGAGAGAGAGGAGAGAGAGGAAGAGAGAGAGATGGGCGAAAGCGCGCGAGAAAAGATATAAAAAAGCAAAGAAAAGAATGAATGAGATAACGAAATTAGAGAAAGAGCGAGTAGAAAATGTAGATGAACAGAAATGACTGATCTTCTTTTCTCTCTCAACTCGCTTAAAAAAAATTTTTTCTTCCCTATTAAATCTTCACGTGATGATAAAAAATTTAAGCCGAAAAGAAAAACACGATCAAGTTTTTTTTACTTTGTGCATTCTTTCCAATTAGGTCCATTTTACAATATTTTTGAAATCTAATTATTATATTTTACATTCTTTTGTCATCCAACCATCGTCATCAACATACAATCATTTTGTATTTTACAGCAATACTTAACGAATAACATTGCGCTACTTAACGTAAGGAATAGGCAAGTCCAATTACAAACACCATTACTGTCTGCCTACAGGAATTGGAACTTCCTCTGGCAGTCAGTGGAGACGATTCACACGACGGAACGGGATCACGCGGAAATGAGATGCCAGGATTTGGAGATGACATTATGAAATTTCAAGAGAGTCTGCGAAATAAATCTTCTACGCAGATGAAACTATGTCTTCTTGCCGTTGTCGTTGCTGTGGTTGCTTTCCTGGCTTATTACTTTTATTTCGGAGTCAATGTCGATGGTGACGCGGAGAATGAAACTGAAGATTGAAGAAAATAACGCATAATAACAAATCAGTTTAGAACATTTAGGATTAGTAAATATATACTACCTAATATAAATTAACATTTTCGTTTATTCACCGATCTATTCTAATTATCGATCTAGGGTAATAATCAAAAGATGAGTAACTTAAATAAATACTTAATGCTTGCTTTTGGTAATTCAATATAGATTATTAACGATTTTAATTTGAAATTTAAAAATAATACAAATCTTTAGAGTCACCTTAAAAGGCATGGATAGCCATTAACTAGCCGGGTATGATGAATGTATGTGCGTGGATGTGTGTCTGTGTGTGTAGATGTGTGCGATCTTACGTGACGTGTACGTATAAACGTATGTGCGCTTTCGTAATTTATCCGACTGTACGAAAGGTAACTGTCAATGAACAATTTTTTTAGCAATTCTTTTAATTCCAATTATAACTACATCGAAAAGAGAGAACTGAAAAGTAACAATGATAAAATGATTAGTACAATAAATAATAACCGCGACATTATGACACGGAACAAAACTAATTGATCATTATGAAGAATTAATAAAAAAATATAACAATATCTATTCAAAAATGTTCATTTACCGCCATTCGTAAGAATTATAAATACTGCATTATACAAACAAATGCATACACGCATTTATTTTACATTTATATTATACACGCATTTTATGTATGTATGTGTGTGTGTGTCTGTGTGTGTGTGTGTGTGTATGTATGTATGTATGTATGTATGTGTGTATGTATGTGTGTGTGTGTGTATGTATGTATGTATGTATGTATGTATGTATGTATGTATGTAAATATGTATGTATGTATGTATGTGTGTGTGTGTGTGTGTGTGTGGTGTGTGTGTGTGTGTGTATGTATGTATGTATGTGTGTGTGTATGTATGTATGTATGTGTGTGTGTGTGTGTATGTATGTATGTATGTATGTATGTATGTATGTATGTATGTATGTATGTATGTATGTATGTATGTATGTATGTATGTATGTATGTATGTATGTATGTATGTATGTATGTATGTATGTATGTATGTATGTATGTATGTATGTATGTATGTATGTATGTATGTATGTATGTATGTATGTATGTATGTATGTATGTATGTATCTTTTGTTTGTATGTATCTTTTGTATGTATGTATGTATGATATACATAGCTAGAGTAAACACGTATATTATTAATTAAATAAAAACATTTTCTCTGTAGAATATGAAACAATGAAATTACAAACGATGAAGGCTGACATAGAATATACATTGGAACTCAAACCGCAACAACAATTTATATTATATATATATGTATATATTGTACGTATGTACATATTTATATATAGTATTATATATATGTGTGTTTGTGTGTGTGCGCGTGTGTGTGTGAAGGTGTTATTTTCTTGATATTTTTTGCAATGAATGAAAATTAAAATACCTACAGTAAGTTGAAAGGAACTAATCAACACGTTCTCTCTCTCTCTCTCTCTCTCTATATATATATATATATAATATTATAATTAAAATTACGTAATGTACGTTCCTACTAAAAAATATTATGAACATCTATTAGATTATGAGTATACGATTTTACAAAAAAAAAAGAATCAACTTAACTAAATAAAAATTTTAGTAAAAATAAATATCGCAAGTAAAGAATTTTTAAATCGAGTTAATAATTGAAGTATGGATATAAAAAAATTATGAATGGCTAATAACAAAATTAATTTAAAAAAATAGCGACACCCAAACGCGCATTGATTGATTGATTGATATTCAACGGTCCGACGATTCGATGAGAGAAAAATAATCAGAAGAAGAAAAGTTGGAACCAGCGTTAAAACTGATGAACGAATCAGTGTAACGTTAATTAGTTAATTAACTCTACAAGCATAATTTCACGAAATAAAATTCTTGAGATGGCAGTAAATTAATTGTATGATAAAAAAGAACAATTGAAAAGCTCTGCGATTGATGTTCATGTACACATTCAATCACAGTGAATAAAAATAAATAAATGAATGAATGAATGTACATATACAAATATTTTTGTATGCTTAGTTACTAACCTAATAATGTGCCTACATGTTGTAGACGATATTTGACTTAATTCTTGAGGAAAAAAATTATGCACAAGATGAAGTTGCTGAGCTTGAGACAGAAGAACTAGAGGAAGATGAGGTAAATTAACGTGAGATGATTTCTTATTAATTCTTTGTCTTATACAATGAAGTATGCACTTACGAAATTGTGCATCATGTTTGAAAGAGCAAGAAAGGGTTGGTGACTTCGGGTTTATATGAATTTTATTTTATATTTTCCGGGCCCAAACATTCGCCCATTCCAACAAACGACTAAGTTCAGAAAATGCCAAATAAGGTAGGAGAATATCGAAGTCACCATGCCTTGACTCGTTTTAAAGAAAAAGAACAAATTACTCCAATTATAAATGATTGAAATATCAGCAAACAATGAGAACTGGCTAATGCCTGCAATATACATTGCATTGATTTAATTAATGAATATTATCCAGTTCATGAGCTCTGGACACCAGGAATTTAATTTTGAAAGTGGCCAAGCAGCAAAATCATCATTACTAACAACGAATCTGTCCAGTTAAAAATGGAAAATTTGAAAAGATTGAAACTAAATCAATTTTTGACTCGAAGTTTCAAGGTGGAAACGAGAAGTTAGTTTAATAGATGGTTTTAACAAGTAACAAAGAAATGGCGGTAACATACTTCACTTATGTTATGTTGCATGTTACGTACAATACATGCTACGTAATAAAATGATATATATCATATAAGTTGTACACTTTGTTATATACCATACATACATTTTAGATACAAAGTGCTTTACTTATTAGATTGATGCAAATATCATTTTGCAAAATGTCCGAACCAACTGAAATCGCAATTCCTGTACTGCCACTGAAGTATTTGAAAATATTTGAAATAAAATTTACAATGAGATTGTAAACGAACCTAACGATCTCTAATTGATCAATTAAAAAATAAAAATAAAAATAAAGAAATCACTTAACTTTCCATCCTACTTGAATTTATCTATAATTACAAACATATACAAATAGGTATAATGGTGTTTCAAAAGAAGTTTAGTCAGGTGTTTGAGCGCTAGTGCAGGATCTATATATCTATATCATTGGATATATATTTATTTATGTATTTATATATATATATATGTGTGTGTGTTAAAAATACTACAAATACCAAATGAACTACATATAATATATATATATTATATGTTTATATATATATTTATATATATATATATGCATACATATATATATATATATATATATATAAAACCATATATAGCTTTAAGGACAAAATGATGGTGTTTATATTGTCGCAAACATTCCATGCAAAAAAAGATATATTCACGAAATTTCAAAAAAAAAATAAAAACAAAGCTAGCATTTATTTTGATTGATAAGTCTTAATAAATCAGATAATAATGTAAAATTGAAGTTGTAAAGAGAGAAAAACACAGATACAATACAATACATGCACTGATAAACGTAGTAGGAACGCAGCTTGTTAGCGTACGTACCACCGATGATTAGCAACACAAGCCTCGAGTTAATTAAATTATCATGATGTACGCTCGTTATTAAAAACCGTAGGGTCAAATTTGGATGAGTGGAGGTCCTTTGCTGTGGAGGCCCTTTGCTGTGGATGCCCCAAGGCATGTCCTCTCCTAAATCCGACCCTAATTCTATTTGACTATTACCAATGGAGGATTTATACGGCGCCCATCAATATTACCGTTGCAAACGTGTTCTTGAGCCGGCCAGATAATATATTTAAGAGAGAGAATGGAAATATAATGATCAATGATCAAAAAAGTGATTTCGTGAATGAGTTAAATTAATGGATGAATAAATACAAAAATATTATAACTTAACTTAAGTTATAGTAATCGTATGAAAATGATGAAGAACGTTTAATCACAAATTGAATAATATACTTTGGAAGATGATATAGCGCAGGCATGCATGCACATGCATCAAAAACGTAGGCCATATGTACACAGGCATAAATACATGTACATATATACAAGATACAAATTATATCCAAAGCAATCATACACGTGTGCTTATGTGTGTGCGTGCATTACGGCGCACGCACGATCAACACTTTTCTCATGTGTGACTACTGTTGTTGTGATGATGGTAAACTAGGCGATGTTGTTGTGGCTGTTGTTGTGCAGACCTCTCCCTAGTAAGGCCCGCCAGTTGCGTGTGGTTGGTTGTGAATTTGCGAGTTAGTGATGAACTTGTCGGCTGTGGGTTGACAGAATCTAGGGATGTGCTGTCGGATAACCTCCTGTCAGAACCGATACTCAAAATGTTGTCGAATTCTTTGTACAATAGTCTGCGTGCCTGGTTTTTGTGTGTAACCAGTAACTTTCAAGTATAGAAACCTTACAATTATGCATACGCATATATTCAAAATCGTATTACATGAGTATCAAAAACATGTACATACATGTACACGTACGCACACACACGCACACACACGCACCTGCACATTGCTGGTTGGTATTTGAAGCATCATGGCAAAACAGTTGTGATCAAAGGAGGTGTCGTAGGCCAGCAGACTGCCGTGCACTCCTGATTCGACGAGATTAGATGAATATTCTTTTAGTCCTATTGACTGTAACCATTGTATTACGTGTTCGTTCGTCCATACTTCAAGTTCTAAGAAAATGTAAAAATGTGTCAAGAATTATAAAATAGTGAGAAAAGCTATATGTATATAAATATTTGCTAATAAAATGCATGAATTAAATAGTGAATATGAAGGACAATTATTAAATAGATTGTTCAACATTTATTACTAAGCATGTGAACCAGGAAGCATTTGAAACAAATAATACCAGTTCCCTGAATTAAACAAAAGCTTGATTTAAATTAAATAATTAAACTTGAGCAATTTTAAATAAAACTATAATGTGATAACAAAAACCTTTAGGGTTCAAGGCTGCCTGACTTTTCCTTCTCGAAAGTTCCTCTTTGTCGTAGTTGAGTCTTTTAAGGCATGCAACACCATATTGTAGGCTGGTTCTGTTTATTGATTGGTTGTCGTTTGGTTGGTTGGTTGGATGGTTGGTTGTCGTTCGTTTGGTTGGTTGATTTGTTTGTTCAATTAGATACATATTTGCAAAAAATCGACCAGTGTTATAATCTATTGGTTAATCACTTTGTGTATAGCTAGTGAAACAGCATAATCCAATAAATAAACCAATACATTGAAGGTAATGATCTTTGTAATACTATCAACATCATCTGTCATCTTCATTAGTTTAGTCAAACAATTCAGCCTGTCCAGCATAAAAACATCCAATCAAATAATGAACGCAAAAACAAGCAGTAAAAAAGCAACTGATTGAACAAGGAAACAGAACAGCAACTAGCCAGCCAATCATGGCAAAGCAACAAAAAAGGACCAACCTATGAAATCCATCGACCATCTTCAAATGGTTGCAGAGATCTTTTTTGGTCAGATGGTCGAGCATCCTGGTATCCACCAAACACTCCATGAAGGTGGTTCGATACTGGGGCAATCCCAGAGAGGGTAGCCACTCATTCCCTATCCATTCATGGCTCATCTCACCGATTGCTGTTAACTGCATGCAGTGCATGTGGTTTGTTCGCGAGGTATTTATCAGAACAGACAAATATAAATGAAATCAAAGATGTACAATAAACCTCCACAAATCATCACCATAAAAATAATCTGCCACCCACCATCATCCCAAACAACACCATAAAAAATGAAACATCTATCCATCCGTCCATCCGTACATCCATCAAGCAGGTAAGCGAGGAAAAGAGCAGAGGACTAACAGGTTGCTTGGAGAGCTTAGGAGCAGAAGGACTGGTGATGTTGACCATCTCTTGGATGGCAAGTCTCAACTTCAAGCGATGCAGCGGATTACTGATGCCGATCTCCCTCTGAATCTCCTGGTCGGAGAGGGCCGACATTATGGCGCCACTTTTCACGTTGGCCTTGCAAGCCGCCACGTACCAGGCGGGCATGCCGATCCACAACTGAAAGGTTAGCCAATTGAAAGGTTAGTGCCGTAGTTTCCATTAACGAGGAAATGATTAACAGTGAAAATACTGAATGACATATCAGGCACTCAGCTATTAATTTAATCGGGCAACTGGCCAAATAAATTTTAAACAATCTGAAAATAACAAATAGGAAAAAATCAACTACTTACTTAACCAGTCAAATCAAACCACATTTGATTTAATTAAAAAATTAACAAATCTACTTAGCAAAAACCACAGAGAAGATCAACCAATCAACCAGTTAACTAACCAACCAAACATCCAGCAAGTCATGCATTAAGCAACCGACAACATAATTAACAAACCAAGCAAACAGCTCGCTAACTAACCAATCAATCAATCAACAACCAGTCGAGCAAACATGCAGATGACCAACCAACCAACCTCCAACCAGGCGACAATGGTTGGTCCATTCCACATACCGAATGGGGTTTCTGCTTTCATAGCCTCGTCAAGCAGCTCCTGTCTGCAAAGATGTTTTAAAATTAACTTTGAAATGTCAAAAAATAAATAAAAATTAAATTTAAAAAAATTTCAACCTCAACCTACAACAATCCTGATTTGATATATGTTTAAAAAATATCTATAACCTAACGCAACACAGCCAGGGCGCAACATAGCAGAACATAGCCGAACATAGCACAAAATAATGAATGCCAACATATAGTTGATATACCTACATCTTAAAACAAAATTAAAAACCATGAAAACACAAATTAAGAGGAAACATCATTTGTACTTTTTCTTTTTTCTTCTGTCAAATTCAGATGGTAAAATTCCGGGTATGTCTAATGTTTCCATGATGCTTGTGTCTGTGAATTTTATAAAAAATATGAAATGTAATAATTAAATATAATAAGTAAATAAGTAATAAATATGATAGAATGAATTCTAATTCACAAATAAAAATAATACATTTTATAAATTTCTTATAAGCTTCAACTTTCGACCACGCAGCTACTTACCTTGATCTCCAGCACCACTGACACCACCGGCAGCTTGTAGCAGCTGTTGCTGCTGCTGTTGCTGCTGTTGTCCTTTGTACTTCTTCTTCGAAGCACTGAATATCCTACCGAGAGAAACCTTTATCCCAGGTTTCTTCTTTTTATTCATCTGTGACTTGAAGAGTGAATCTTGGCTGGATGATGATGAGCTGTTGTGTTGTTGTTGTTGTTGCTGCTGTTGTTGTTGTAATTGTTGTTGCTGTTGCCGATGTAGCGTGTTGTTGCTGAGTTGTTGCAGCTGTTGCTGGTTGTCTAACGTCCTGTCCATAGACGGATGGTTATTATAAGTACAAGTGTGTTAATAGAACGTCGCTACAATCATCACAGTCATTATATTTGTTATAATAATAATAATAATAATATCTGAAATTATAGCAGTAACATCTTCTCATCATCACAGACATCGTCATCATCATCTTCATTATAATGATCCAACTCATCAGCAGCAACCGTACCTTAGAATTGGTTGAGTGACGGTCGAGTTCTGGTTCATCATGTACATGTAACTGTTTGATGAAGACCAGGCTTCTCGCGACTGCTGAGTGAATGAGTGAAAGAGTAAGTGAACCCAAATGAGTAAATGAATGAGTAAACGAGTCAGTGAATATAATAAACTAATCCAATACATAATATAAAATTGATAATGATGAATGTAACCAATAATATAATATAAATAATACACCTATCTAATTTAAATACACAAATTGCAAAGAAGGAAGAATGTTTTAGAATGAATGAAGATATAAAAGTAAAGAACTGAACCGAAAAAAAATCACCAACATCTTGGTTAGATTCGTAGAACTCAGTGATAGATGGCGATGGTGATGTGGTTGTGAGATGTTGATGAGGGTGAGAGGACGGCTGGGCAGCTGATACACCCTGATCGAGAATTATCAGTTCTAAATTTCATCATCGCCATCATCGTCGTCACAATCAAAGCGTAAGTCATCACATCGTCGTTGTCATCATGAAAAACATTATCAGCATCATCATTACCATCCCAATCAACACCGATACAATCAACATCATCATCAACATCATCACTTTCATAATATCTAAAATTGAAAATTGATCCAATAAATAAACTATTTATTAAATTTATGAAAAAAAATCATACAACAAATCAATATTTACACAATTTTCAACCAACCAAAGAACAAAACGCAAATTAACTAATCAAAACTTATACAAATAAGACAATCTAACAACCAGTCTGTCAGCTGGATAAATTGTTTTAAATCTACGTATATCTGAAATCGTTGTTTCACAGTGATTTAAACTAGCAAGCAGGTCCCACAACGTTGAAAAAAAAGCACGCACCTCAACTTCAACATCATTCCCCCGAAAAGTGAATTCACATTGCAATCGCCACCGTTATTTGTATTCATATTTTGAAAATGCGACAAAAACCATCGACTAACACATACACACTATCACGTTAATTAGTCCGCGACTGCCACATACCATTCAATACACTACAACAATCAACCATCGTGAAAAAACGATTGCTAGTCGATGAAAGTTTGTCAAAAAAAAGTTGAACCGTTGTCTTAGATATGTTAACAGAATATGGTAGCAAGTTCAATTTTCAACTGGAAAATGCTCTCACTTAATGTGAAGTTTTTTAATCGATATTTAAAGTATTTTTAGATATTTTGTTGAAAAACCATATTTGAGAGAAAACAAATTTGTCAACCTATCAATCAACCCACCAAAAAATTAGTCGGCCAACCAACCAATCAATTAATCAATCTTCTAACCAACCATACAACCAACTATCCAACCAACTAACCAATCAATCAATCTCCGAACAAACCAACCAACCAACCAACCAATCAATTGGCCAACTTACCAGTCGATATTTTTGCAGTCCACTCCTCCTTTGCATGGATGGACTCGGATAATCAACAATCACTCCACCTTATGAATTATTATCATTATCATTAAAATCGTAACGATCATTATCATTAACATCACCATAATCATAATTGTCATAATCATCATCATTATCATCATCACCTTCATTTGACAAATCAAGAGGTGGATACTGCTTATCTCTCCAAGTAGATCTCGGTGATGGAGTCGGTGATGATGACGATCCATCTCCTCCTCCCCCACTTCCGGCAAACAGATTACTTCCGCTGTGATTGCTAAGCGACGGAGACTTATCAACGGCAGCCGACGTAGCTGTGGCCACAGCAGCTGAAGCAGACGTGGCAGCGGATAAGCTAGTCAACGCCGATTGTTGATGATCTGTAAACTGCTGTTTGCTGTCATTGCTGCTGTTGTTGGATGATGATGATGACGTCATTGCAGTCGGATAATGATGACGATTAGGATGATGATGAGGAGCAGGTGATTTTTCTTCTTGTTCTTTTTCCTCTTGGATTAGTCTATAATGGATGATGATGCGGTGACGATAATTAATGTATTAAACGACGATGAAGATGACGAGGAAATGCGACGAGTCAGTGATTAGGACAACGGTATAGTGATGGTAGGAGCTTGCAAATCGTACACATAAGGTCAGCAACGAAACTAGGGCAACGATGAAAAAAAAACCACGACAACAGAACGACGACGAACCTGATCTCGTTGTTGATGGCATCGAGTTGATCCTGCAGTAATTTAGCGACAGAATGTGCGCTATCATCAATGATGTCAGCTCCATCAAGCTCGCCAACGCAACCGCCACCACTCACGACGTCTTGCGCCAACTGCATAGACCGTGACGACACACTTACGGCTGGTTGCTGGGTGATAATAAATGTGATGATGGTCGCGAAGGTCAAGGTGATCCATAAAATGATGACGATGATTGCAATGAATAATAATAAGTTGTTGACGTTTACAGCGACTATGATGAAACTAAGAAAAACAGATATAAATATAAGAAAATATTTATCAACACAACGACACCACCATCCTCATATTAAATAAGTTAATTTAACAACACATGATTGCAAAATTGAAAGTCACACAACAACTCGTCCGTACCACGTGCTGTGGATCAGAAAATTCAGTCCATCTACTTTTTGGGAAGAGATAGAATGCAAAGTCGCCAGGAGCTGATGCTTCGACTTTCATTGGCTGACTGGTTTGGGTCATGAATATTTTATGAAATGCTATCAGTATTCAAGTTTGTATTGCATTATAACATAGAGAACAATAACATAGAGAGCATATAACATAGAGAACAATAACATAGAGAGCATATAACATAGAGAACAATAACATAGAGAGCAATCGTTAATTATACAATTATTAATTTCTCAAAAATGTTCATTTCAATGCTGGCGGCCTTATAGAGGGCTACCAATTAACATTGCTGTCGGAAAATAAATGTCACCATCACCGTCATCAAATCGAAAATTTCCTAATTACCTACCTGTTTTTCTCTGTTAAACTCTTAACCTCCTTCATTAGTTGATCAATCTGTTTCTGCATTGAATCCTTGTAGACAAAATTAAATAAACATAAATGTAGAAAATAACAAACTAAATAACCAAATAAATAATTCACATACAACCAAGCAACATGGCAACACATTCAGTTATAATAGAAAAAGAAGAATGATAAAATTTTCAACTTCAATTTTTTAAATTTCAAGAATAGTCGTTCGGTTAATACCTATTTATATCTTGAATTATCAAATGAATCAATGCATTAATCTCACGGTGAATAAAATTATTTTTCCTCCTTAAATTCTCATATAGATTATTTTTGTGGTTACAAATTTTTGGCCAATCACCTTTTGATTTTCTAGGTCAATTATTGATTTTTTGGACTGTTCTAAGTCTTCGGTGACCCGATTTTTTTCTTCCAACACTTTAATTCTTTCCTTGAGGTGCATCTGCAATCTTTCGTTCGACTCGGAGAGCAGCCTGTCAACAGTAGATGACAGGCGATTGTTGTGTTCCTCACTCAATCTATCCCGGTGTCGTGCCTGTGGTAATGATGATGACGATGGTGGTGGTGGTGGTGATGATAACTGATAATAACGATGATGGCGAATAATGGTGAACGAGTAACATGATTATGTACTTTAAAATCATGAAAACTTTTATTAACTTATAATTAAAAACTTAATGTGGGCAATTTCGTTGTGTGTCTGTTTTGACCACAAAATAAAAAAATTAATTTAGTAATGGGTAATAGAAAGAAAATAAAATAACTTTCTGACCCTTTCAAGTTCTTGATTCAGTTCATCAACTTGCATCTCGAGATTTGAAATTTTCGACAGCAGCGACGCCTTATCCTCCGCCAGGCCCGTGTTACTTTTCTGTTGTCGTGTATGTTGTTGTTCATAGTGCAAACATTAATGACAATGCTATTATCCGACGCTAACTGTTGTAGCAATGATATCATCAATGATAGTGGTGCATACTTTTGAGATAAAATTGCGCTAAAAGCCTGTAATTTTTAGAACTGACAAAACTTTCTTATCAGTAGCACATACTCAAGTGTTCTACTTTGTAAATATATCAGCTTCTATGTGGACGACGTTTGCAGAAAACCAAATAAATTAAAAAGGTGCCTCGTGATTACCGTCTCAACGCTTCAAGAGAAGAAATTGGTTAAATAATTCGAAATGAAAATGACTAGACTTGTAGAGGAAATAAAGAAGATCTGATGAAAATGTGATCTATAGTGAAGAAGTAAAATATCAATATAATATCTATCTTATTTTTAGAGATATAGGGAAGAACATATGGAAGATAGTGGAATCAGATCAATGGGAGATACAAAGTAGAAAATTTAAAGATTTGTATGCATGGGATGGGTTTTATCTTAGATAGAGTCATGACAGAATGAAATAAAAAATATTAAACAAGAAGATATAATTATACCATCAAGCATTATTAGGATAGCCACAAATTGCAGACTCAATCGAATGTTATTCATAAGTATTATTATATGTGATTTAAATGCTTTCATGCAGTAATTTCAATATATAATTTGCATTGCATAAGAAAATTATCAACAAACAATACTGAATTTGTTTCGTGAGTGTTTGTGTTGATGTGTGTGTGTGTGTTTATGGTTAAACATATAAGCACGTTTTTGTATGTGTGCTTGTATGTGTGTGTGTTTGTGTATGTGTGTACGTGCATAAACATATGCAAAACTAACAGAAAGTGACGATAGTGATGTGGATGTTGGTGGGGCGTTGAGGGACTGCAGTTTCTCTTCCAACTGTGTGTGAGTACGATGGAAAATATTCCCAACAATTTCATTAATAACTAATCTTCAAACAGTACATACCACAACAAATAACATTTTTTAAAAATTAACAGAAATAAGGTAAAACTACCAACTTAACATTACCATCATTGAATTAGGGTCCAATATTAATCAGTCCAACATTAACACAAATTACCAGCAACATGAATAACCAAATACTAAGTTGATGCAAAAATAATGCCGCTTTCCCCTCTAAAATGCGACAACATAGTTTTTTATTGAAACAACTTTGTACTGGCACCTCCTCATGCTTCCAGAATATTACAATTGTATTAATTGAGCTAGGCCAGAGTTTAAACTCGTGAAGCAAAATAATTTGATAATCACACTTTGACAATATTTTGAAATATCGCTCAAAAACAAACACAGTGCAAGGTTTAAAAAAATATTTAATATAAACTAGATACAGAAACAAATAATCTGTAGAATGATATATATATATATCAATACATCTAATAAAATTAAATTAAAAAACAATTTTGTGTCATAAAATTGAGTCACATAAAACCGACATTATTTTCGCACTAAAATAATAAATAATTCAAAAATCTTTCAAAAAACCACCTATAAAATAGATACTTTATAAAAAAATTTTCCAAAAATGGTAAAAAAAATGAACCACCATTTTGACGAGGGTTGTCTTGGCATCGAGCTGATCCATCAGTTGGTTGTTGTCTTCCTGCAGTGAGGAGCACTCCCGCTGAATGTTCGTGTACCTCTTCTCCAAGGTTGATATCCTCTCCTCCTGGTCTTCTTTCTGAGCGTTGCACTAAATATAGGACGTGCATGACATCGTGTGATGATGTGCGGCCGATGAAGATGATGATGATGGATATGATGAAGATGGTGCTAATGGTGGTGGTGGTGATTGTGGCGCTGATAGAAATGATGATGAAAATGATGAAGATGGTGCTGATGATGATGGTGGTGGTGATGGTGATAACGATGATGATGAGGAAAACAAGTAGGAAGAGGAAGGAGAGGATGAAAAAAACGAAGTGTAGTTGTAGTAGCAGAGTGCATAAGTGGGGATGAATATGTTGCATTCTTACCAGTGATGATTGGAATAAAAAAGCCTGCAACAATTTGCATCATAAATCAATAAATTCGCCATCTAGTAAGCAAATTACCATAATTATAGCCACCACCACCACTATTATTATTATTAATATTGTCATTTGTCACTCAATTCATTGTCTGTCACCATTATTACTGATGTCTTCCCAACAACACTTAGAGAAATAACAACAATAACATCAAGAGAAACAATGATGTTGATTGATATTAATGACCATCATCATCTTTATCATCACCATCATCATCATCTTTATCATCACCATCGCCGTAATCATCATCATCATCGTCGTCATCATTATCGTCTCAATCATCATCGTCATCGTCTCAATCACCATTGTCATCACTAACCTCCTTAATATCATTCTCTAATTTTTTATTAATCTCTTGCTGTTTCGTTGATTCTTTCTGCCAAAATAACAAATCCTCATTCAGAGATGTTATCTTCGACCTTGCAGAGAAAAGTTATATTTTACATTTAAAAAAAAATTATGATTTAATTATTATTTTAGCCCCTATTTAGTATCAATTATCAACTACTTACTTATCATATGTAAATTCCATTCAACTTATTCTAATATACCACGAGAAACTTTCACAATGTTTCATTTATTAGTGAAAAAAATTATACACTGTTCATAATAATTTTTCTATAGCTAAAATGAAAATTGGATAATTGCAGAAGAATTTGACCACAATGATGTGGTGATGATGAAATAACAATGGTGATGATGATGAAAAAGCGATGGTGATGATGATGATAAAATAGCGATGGTGATGATGATGACAATAGACACACCTAAGATCAACAATCTGGGATCTACACATAGTAAGTTCAATGCTTTCCTGCTTTTCCATCAACAATGATATCCTCTGCTCACCATTCAATGGTCGAAAATGTGGAATGGTGGATGATGATTGGTGGGTGAAAATAATTATTATAATGACAATTTATCATATTATTAGCCCTAATTATAATATCAATAAATAACAAAAGCTGTTGCCATTTTTAGTAGTGGCAGTAGAAATAACATACACATTCATAGACGCGCGCACACGCACAAACCCACACACATACACAGACACACATAAACATGAAACACACACATTTGCATATGCATACATACACAACAAACACCCACATATATTCACACACACACACACACACACACACACATATTTGCACTTGTACACAAAAAATCCCACAATCCCATTCGCATGTTAAAACACACACACGCACGCACGCACACTCACCTTTTTATTATTTTCCTGTAATGAAGTTGAATTAGCGGTGCTTTCCTCATCGTTATCAGTACTGCCTTTCATCTTAAACTCCATCTCTCTATACTGAAAGAGCTAATTGGACAGGATGAAGAATAATGAAATATCATAAATTCTTCCTTCTAAGAGTATATAAGAAGAAAGTAAATAACACTGTTTTACTCACACATACAGAGTTTTTACTCACACATACGCATACACATACGCACACACATACGCACACACACATCGCATACATAAACATGCACATACACACACACACACACACGCATTGCATATATAAACATGCACATATATACACACACGTCCATGCATTTACGCATTCAATGCATGCCTGTTTGAGTTTATTTTTCTTTTATTGTTAGCTGTTGTAACAACAGAAAAAGAAAACATCATCATCACAAACATCATCACAAACATCATCACTAACATCATCATCACCAACATTATCATACTTTATATCTTCAGTAAATTAACAAACATCAACAACATCATCATCATCAGCTGCTGTCACAATGATAATGGTGATACAATTGGTGATAATTTAAACAATGATGGTGTTGAAAAAAATCACCACCACAAAATTAATAACAGGTAAGGCTAGCATCATTATAAGCATTATTAAAAAATAAAATCTCATCATTAATCATCATCATCTTTTATCATCATTATCATCATCTAAATTGAAATGGATGACAGCAACCTTATCACAACCCAACCTATAAAAAAAAGTTAATACAAATTTTGATACGAAAGTTTTTAATTTCTCACACCAGACATTTTAAACAATCCTCATTTTCAATGTAATCATTGCTGTCATCAGTCATTGTCACCACAATATGCATAATTTTCTTTTTTTCTAAATCCTTCTCTCTCTCTCTCTCTCTTTTTCTCTCTCTCTTTTTCTCTCTCTCTTTTTTTTCTCTCTCTCTCTCTCTCTCTCCCTCTCTCTTAGCCATCACCATCATAACCACATTATATTCTTCATCAGTATTTTTATGAGCATCATCATCCTTCCTATCAACTGCCAAACAATTATTTTTTTTATTCACCACCATTTGTGATGATCATTAGCATCACCACAAAATCATCTTCGTCGTTGTCGTCACAACATGACCATTATTATTATTGAAATGATTTGATATACAAGTATTTGTATATAACCATATCATGTCATCAGTATTGTTAATGCCGCTGCAGTTATTAGTCAAAACCATGCCAGAAAAATCATCATTGTCATCATCATCGTCATCATCAATGTCATCATCATTTAAGATGATAACACTCTGCTATTTAGAGAAGCTTTTCAAAGCTTAATAAATGAAAATATTTATCAAGTAATAACTTTGGCCAAACTGGACCAGGCTTTTTTTCATGTGATGAAAGAGTAAACAAATTATGATAAAATAAAAATTCATAATATATCAAAAATTACTATTACCACCACTACATCATCTCTACAATCATCATCGTCATCAGCAGCAGCAGCAACAGCAGCAACTGCAACTTACTTCGTTATTGGCATACATCAACTCCTCTTCCAGTTGTACAATTCTTTCCATAGCAATCTTCAACCTCTGTCTCAACTTTTTTGCAAAATTGTGATAATAATATAATTTTATTAAATTATACCATTGCGATAATATAATTATATTATATTATGACAATAATATAACTATATTATAATTTGAAATAATATAATCCTGTTGAAATATTTTTTAAATGATTGATCAAATGATTGTCGATAACATGACTGTTGCTGTTGTTGTTGTCACAGTTGTTTATGAGTAGCACCATTGTAACTAACATTAGCATCATGTTACTTGCAATAGCAGTACAACCACTTAAGCTTGAATAAGAGTAGTAATTAAACTGCTAACAACAAGATAGTCATGATAAAGAGGATGAGGACAAAGAAAATGATGATAAAGTATGGTAATGGTCAAGTTGCTGATACAAATGATGATACAAATGATGATACAAACACTAATAAAAAAAACATTTATTGAAACAAAGCTGAACAAATAAACTGCAATAAAAAATAAAAACAATTTAGAAAACTTATACTGAAAACATACAGTTGACTAAATTGACCATCAATCTGCAACCAACCTTTTCATCCAAAGCCTTGTGATGTTCAAACAATGACTTGAGGGCCTTGAGGACTTCGACCTCACTGGACACACCCCCACTTGCTGCTGATTGCCGTTTTACAACTGTCATACGAAGAGATTTCTCATGTCTAGCAACCAAACACTCCAAATGCTCCAGTAACAACTGTGGTGATTATGATTATCATATAGACAAATATATCATAACATATGCTAATAGTTGATGTTTTTATTTTTATATATTTTATATATTTTTTTAGACAAATAAACGATTATGAAGTTAATAAAAATGATATTAATACAATAGCTAAGTAATAAGAATATGCACCTTTGTGTTACTTCTCTCAGCCTTCAGTTCAGAAATTTCTTCATCTTTTTCAAGTACCTGTTCTTGCAGTAACGTCACCTCCTTGCACAAGCTGACAACTTCCTGGGGCTGGTTCGAATACAACTGCTTCGTCAGTGCATCTCTTTCGCGTCGCAACTCTTGAAGTTCAATGTTGGCCGATGACAATTCATCTTGTGTCTTGTTCAATGACTCCAAAAGTTTCTCTCGTTCATCAGTCATATTCTCAATCATGAGTTCAAGGTCATGTACATTATCTTCACCAGACGAACATTCTTCATCATCGATGTAGCCAGCGCCAGTTCCATTGGACCCCCCACGGTTTGATTCCGACATCAACAGCGCTGGACCATCCTCCGATATCGTTGGCAAAACGTCACACATCACTACTCATCCAACTGAGATTTGATTAATTTTACAAACAATTAAATTATTAAATTAAGTATGTTGTTACGACTTAAAAAAGTTTCATATTTTATTCTTTAAAAATTTTTAAAAATCTAGTAAAAAATTCTGCTGAAAAACAATTACATAAAAATAAATTGACGAGATAGAGAAAAAAAATTTTAAAATTAAAAAATTTGTAAGAAGCGTACGTCCGAGGAGCCGAGAAGCATGACAATCGCAAGAAAATAATTAAAACTAAATTAAAATAAATTAGTGGATAATTGGTGAAAAAATAAACAGCAATGACCAAAAACAAAGATTGTTTAATCATTAAATGCAGAAATACAGATTTTATGTAGGTGCAGCCTACATTTAAAAAATTTTTTAAACAATTATTATTATAATTATATAATAGCAACTTGTAATTATTAAAAAAAAATTTTTATCTTTCATTACGTTTATTAATCTTTGTTGTATGTTATATATATATATATGTATTATCGCTGTGTTTTGGTTCCTGTGTAATTGACTTGAGAAAAAAGTGAGTTTTGTTTACGCCGGTTTTATAGTCCGTATTTCTGTATTTCAAAAATATCGAAATGGCCGAAAAAGTCGAGAAGTCTATGGAAATTGATAAAAGTGTGGAGTTTTTGTACAGAACAATGCGTTAGTTATTCATTTTCAGTGTTATTTTTTAAAAATCAATTTATTTATCTCTCTCTAATAATCTAAAATTCATTCTATTTGTAATGTATTTAATTTTTTTTCTCTAATATCTAATTCTAATGCTAATCTAATAATTAGAGAAAATTTATTCATTAATTTAGTAAATAAAATGAATCAAATCACATGTCAATGTAGAAAATTTATTCATTAATTTAGTAAATAAAATGAATCAAATCACATGTCAATGTCTAATTTTGTGTTTCGTCTCTCTACTAATGCTAATCTAATCTGATATAATTGATAATCTCCAATGAAATGACCAAATTCAAAAATATCTTTTTTAAATTTTATTTTTTCTTTTCAATTTTCATCAATACAATTATGTGCAAAGTTTGATTTTCTAATTGCAATGTGCAACAACCAACAACAATCAACATTGTAATTAGTGCAAAAACAATTAATATTAATAAAAATCTAACTCTGACTAAATGAATTGGGATTGAAATGATTGTCACTATTTCATAAAATATAAATAACTGTTAAAAGTTTATCATATCTTAATCATCAACAGAATGTCCATCTCCTATTATTAATTACTACTTTGTTTCAGTTCATTTTCATTTCATCTTGATCTTTCACTGAACTCAATGATTAAACTTTGATTAGTTGAAAGGGATCCAAGAAAGAGGCGTGTTAAATTGGTGCAGCCCCACCTTTTGCAGTTGGATTTTGCTGCCCTTGGAGACAGTTCAGATGACAGTGACTTCAAACTGAACAGTGACCTTGAGGATGATGAAGAGGACGACGATGATAACGCCAATAATGGTAAATTATAAATTCATCTAAATGCTAAAGTGGTTAATAGATACATTCATTTTTTCATTCATTCAATGATCCTCTGTAGTCTCTTAAGGGACCGTTGAGGCCGATGGTATTCTTCTATCTCTCCAAAATTCTTTTCTTTCCCTAGCCATCTTCATTGAGCCCAATGTTCCAACCCTCGTCCATTCCGTGATATCATCCATCCACTTCCTCACAGGACTTCCAACTTTTTTCTTCCAGTCCCTCTTTCTCATCAGTACTTTTTTTTAGATACATATTAGTTTGTTATTTATTTTCAATTTTTTTACAGATAATAGCAGCAAATCCAGCGATGACAAAGATGACGATGACGACAATGATGATGATGAGGATGATAGCAGCCATGAGAACAGTGAATCTGATGCAAATAATAAGAAGAAGAAATCAAAGAAAAAACAAAATGCCTCAGAGGATGAGAATTCTCAAGATGATAGAAAAAAGAAGAAAGAACAAATCTCCAAAGATGAGGAAGAGGAAGAAGATGATGATGTAGGCTTTTATTGATGACACTCTCATCTCACTTTTATTGCATCATTTTTTGTAATTAACATATTATAATTAATCCTAATTAATCAATAAATCACATATTAATATGTTGATGATTATCTGCTGAAGATGTCCAATACTGAGATGCAAACGAAGAGAATCAAGGTGCCTATATGCTGTGTCTGCCTTGGCGACTCCAAGTTAGTGAATGTCATTATCGTTGTATATTTTATAATCTTCTTCATCATCGTTGTTGACATCATTTTATCATCATTTCCTAGTGTTGATATCATAAATGTCACCATTAATCCTTATCAATCTCTTGTATATTGCTATCATCGTCTTTATCATACAGCAGCTCCGTTAATGAGATCATCGAATGTGATGGTTGCTATGCTCCTGTCCACGAAGGTTGGTTACACTTTTTCCATATTTATTTTTTGTCTTTTGTTTTTGCATAATTTTACATCTTTTAATTCTACCTACATCATTAATGTGTGGGTTTTATTGTGATGTGATGATGATGAATTCAATGTTTATTGTGTTATCATAAGTTTTCTATTTTTACGAAAGCCGTATTGTTATATTTGTAGCATTACGTAATATATCAAAAAGGCTGCCATTTAATATAAATTTCAATATTTTTGCCAGTCATACTAAACTTTTTCATCAAATGATTTTCATCAGCCATCTTAATTGGTTATAAGAATTGATGTTTTGATTAAATTATGTTAATTAATCTTAATAAATTATGATAATTTTTATTTTCAGGTTGTTTCGGAGTGTCAGATTCTCAATCAGTGTCGAGCAGCGATTCGTCATCAAGTATGGAACCTTGGTTTTGCGATGCCTGCAAGGCAGGAGTCAGACCCGTATGTTTATGTCAATTCGTTCATTCATTCATTTATTTACTCATTCATTCATTTATTTATTCATTCCATCCATCCTTCATTCATTCAATTAATTATATGACCACAGTGAATTAAAATTGATGACTTCATGAGAGATGAAAAACCACTACTGATGTTAACTGTTGTTCCATTTACTAGGATTTCTCTTTTTAATCATTGCTGCTGGTTTATGTGAATTTTAAATTGAAAATATGAAATTGAGGGTTTTCATTTTTTTGTAAAATAATTTTTAATTAATTATTTTATAAAATAATTTTCATTTAATTATTATGTAAAATAATTTCCACCACCCCAGCACTGTGAATTGTGTCCGAATAAAGGGGGAATCTTCAAGGAAACAGATACTGGAAGGTTTAGACATTGTCACGATAGTCAACGTCATTACTGTCATCCTAGCATCTCTCATCATTTTCATCATCTTTATTATAATGTTTAACCCTTATCTCATCATCATAACATCGCCGTCGTCATCATTTTAGCAATCAGTAATCTTCGTCATCATCATCATTGTAATATCAGTCATTATTATCATCATCATTGTGATAACTAAAATTGTTATTCTATACTATAATAACCATTATAGTCATTGTCATTATAATCTAAATTTCATTCATCATGGTTGAAACAAAAATCCTTATCATCGTCATTATCACCATCTTTTTCATTACCATCATCATCGTTATCATCATCGCCATCATCATCATCATCATGGCAGGTGGGTGCACTTACTATGCGCCCTCTACACCCCTGGAATGGCATTTGGGGATGTCGAGAAACTCAACAACGTCACCCTCTTCGAAATGCCATTTGCAAAATGGGGTGCCAAGGTAGGCGTGGTGGCGACGAGGATAATGATGTAATGATGGTGATGATGTGGCTATGATGTTGATGATGTAATGGGGTGGTTATGGTGATGGCATTGGCGGAGGGATGATGACGATAATGATGGTAATATAATACTTTCAAAATGCCATGTACAAAATGATGCTTAGGTGCTGGTATAAATAATAAAAAGCGCTAATGTTAATGTAGACGTCGATGCTATTTCCATGATAAATTGTTACAACATCAATAACCTTGTTAGCCTATGTACAAGTTGCTTAATTATTAATTAACATTAATTAACTTTTTTATTTATTTATTTTTCATAAATTCTAATTTAATGTCATGAATATTAATTAGGAGTGTTCGCTGTGTGAAGATGTACGCTTCAGTAGAACTGGCGTCTGCATAAAATGTGATGCGGGAATGTGTAGGGTCTACTTCCATGTTACTTGGTTAGTTGGTTGGTCATTTGGTAGACTGGCTGGCTGGTTGGTTGGTTGGTGTATTGAATGGTTGGTTGGTCATTTGGTAGACTGGCTGGCTAGTTGGTCATTTGATAGGCTAGTTGGCTGGTTGGTTGGTCATTTGGTAGGCTGGTTGGTTGGTTAGTTTGTTGGTCAGTCAGTTGGTAGGTCGTTTGGATCAATGATTGTTTAGTTGGTTGGTTGAGGAAATGTTTTAATGACTTGGTTGGTTGATGATTTTTAAATTAATCAAAGCGAACGGTTTGTTAAGTTATTTTTCTCCATTAGACAAATGTTTTTATGAATTTTTAGGGAATAGTAATTTATGACACACAATAAAATTGATGTCAACGTCACAACGTCGCAACACACAATTCGTGCCTGACGTCAACATTGGCTTCTCCTGATTGGCTCTTAAATTAAACTTCATACTCACTTCATCATAGCATAAAATATTTTACTACTTTCAGTGCACAGAGGGCAGGCTACTTGAATGAGGCATCACCAGATGAGGTTTGCTACATTCTGATTATTTTTATATTTCCATCGCATTTTTTGTAAAAAAAAAAATTTTCAAAATAAAATGACTGACATTTACTGCAATAACTTAACACAAATGACATTAACATTTGCGACATTAACATGTACTATAATGACGTAGTAATGATAATGACGTTAACATTATTCCAGGAAATAGCAGACCCCTATTATGCCTACTGCAAGCAGCACGCGGATCGCAACTCGACCCGACACCACCACCGCAACTGGCTAGCTCTCCAGTCGAACCTCAAACAGACTGCTATCGAGCGAGAACTCAACACTGTGGAAAAGGTTTGCTGGCTTTTTTGAGTTGGTGTGTGCCTGCGTGCGTGTGTGTGTATGTGTGGTGTTTGTATACTATGATATAGATAGTTGCTTTATATTTTTTTACCATCACCTCACAGAGTCGCATGCAGAGGAAATTGTTGAGTCACCAATCCAAGTACAAGCTGACGAAATCTCTCAAGCCCCCGTGTTGGGGTGAGTCTTGCTTGATCACGTGATGATGTTGATTCGGTGGTGGTGGTGGTGTTGGTGGTTGTGGTGTGTCCTTGCTGCTGTTGTTGTTGTTGTCGATTGTGGTCATGTGACGTTTGAGGTTTTTTAGTATTGGTGGTAGGCAGTAATTGTACATGAACTTTCTTATTTTCAATTATAGGTCCCTTCAAATGTCATTAATTATTTTCCATTTCCAATAATTATTTTATCGGTAATGTACCTTTATCTGACATGAATGCCATTATATTTAAGGCTGCGGTAGATGGATGCGTTGTTAATATTCCAGCTGAGTCAAATGAAGCCTGATTAAGTACTCTTTTTCATTTTGATATAGTGCCCAAGGAGAAGGTTCCGAAGATGCTGTTGAGTAATGCATACGTTCTGAAGCAGCTGTTGAGAAAGGCTGAGATACTGGGCGTCACTGATGTAAGTTTTTACTTTTGTGTACACTGTACACATTGTCACCTTTTTGCATCTTGGAGATATTAAAAATTATTATTTATGAATAAATAAACGATTGGTTGGTTGGTTGATTATTGAAAAAGTTAATTATTTGATTGCTCGTTTGATCCATTGGTTGATTTATTGATTTTAATTATTAAATATCTACGTTAACGAATAAATGAATGAATAAATAAATGAATTAATGAATGAATACAGGATGCAGGAAGTGTGGAGTCAAGAAAGAAGGGCTACTCAGCTCCAGCATTCAACGTCGACTTCATCAGCTACTATTTGGGTATCTGTCGTTTTTAATTTCTCTTGTTGTTTTCATATTCTTTTTTTTTCTTTCTTATTCTTCCTTTTTTACTAACCCCTGGATAGAGGTGTAGTTACATTTGTGAGTAAGTTCATTACCGTCTGTCGTATTGATAAGTAGTTTTTTGCTGAAATTTTTAGATTATTGAAAGTTTTGATTTGTTAAAAGAAAAAGGATGCTTGTCATACACGGTGTATAGCGTTTTTTAATTGCTTTCAAACTCGTTAGGAAGTATGAATGTAAACAATTGTTATCCATTTCAATATACATGCCCTGTGTCATTTTTGATTTGTTTAATATTTTATTCTTCTGCATTGTTTTTATAACACTTTGTAATTATGACATTTATAACATTATAACATTTGTATGCAACTGACACATTCGATTTATGCTAATTAATTTATATAAATTAATTAGCATAAAGTATGTAATTTTATCATTGAATATTTTATTGTCATCATCAACGTCAGAGCGGAATGAAGTATGTAATTTTATCATTGAATATTTTATTGTCATCTTCAACGTCAGAGCGGAATGAAGCAATTGATTCAATGAGGTTGAAGTCTGGCGAGATGGAGAAACAGAAGAAGGAGCTTCAGAGGGAGGAAAAGTCACTGACCGCCAAATATGATGATGTGTGTACCTTACATGCATGTGTGTGTGCGTGTGTTTGTTTGTGTGTGTGCCTATGTTTGTGTGTACGGTGTGGCTGGATTATGTGTGATATACACTATATAGTTGAATCTTTTCGGATTTTAGTCTGTTATTTTTGAAAAATATTTTATAAAATTAAATGAAAATAGTTTTTCTATAACCAAAAGACGCAGGTAGGTTATTTTCTGTCATTTAATCATTTTTATTTTTTGCTGTTAAGTTGAAGCTAGAGTTAGCAGGCCTTCAATCGTCGAGCATTCAAATTCAGCAAAAAGGACTCCGACTTTGGGATTACATTATGTTCCTCTCTGGCAAGGTTTGCATCCTATTAACAAATAATAAATGTATCTATTTAGGATAATTTATGTATCTTGATAATTTAATACATGTATCTAGATAGATATATATATATAATTAATGTAATATGTAATATATGTAATTGAGTTTCGTATTACATGTCCAGTTACCACTGCACATATCTTCAATCAGTGCAAAATTTTGTATTTCAACGAGTTTTTTCAAATTTTCATTCACACAATATCATCGACATTTTAAAAACTTCTTTACAATTGACAAACAGAGGCTTAGAATTCCTGAGAGTGTCAGTTTCAGGAACCTGCCCATGTCATCACCGGCCAATAAGGATGCTTCAAAATCAGCTGGTACTTCTGGACCATTACAATGGTTAGCTGGTTGCTCATTTGCATAAATTTCTATTCCTATTATTTATCTTATTATTATTATATAAATGCCGGTCGTCTTACTAAAGATTTATTAAGTATTATATGATTGTGAATCTTTTCTGATGGTTTTTATATTTTATTCTTCGGTGTGTTCTTAAGCATTGCTCTTTTAATGCCATCATTATAACCTTTTACGCAACCGGCACATTCTATTTGCTTGACTTTAGTTTAATTAATTAGCTTATTAATTTATTCAAATGCAGTTGTGCGTCATGCATGAAGCAGCATGACCAACACCTACTGGCCAAATGTGACAAATGTAATTCGCACTATCACTTATCCTGTCTCGATCCTCCGCTATCTCGAATGCCGAAAAAGACCAAACTCCAAGGATGGTTAGTTCTCCTTTACTGGGTTGAGTTTTTCTAGGGTTTTGTCGTGTTGTGGGGGGCTGGTGAAGTTGATGATGGTTATTATGATACACACACTCACATACACACACACACATGTATGCACACACGTTGGTGATGCTTGAGATGTAGTAATGTTTTATTTGCATGGTAATTTGTCTAATGTTAAAAAAAGTATGATTTCTAGGCATGTTATTTTATTGATGTAGTAAATTAGTTTACACAACAAAACCATTTTGCTACCACTACCACTACATTTTTTATCGTGTTTCTATTATCATCATCTCATTATGATGGTCAGGCATTGCTCCATGTGTTCGAAAGATTCAGCAAACGAAGGTAACGAAATTGAATCAGATAACCTCGACCCAAACGACAACACGGTGAATTTGACTGCTACCACAACAACTACAGCTGCAACTACAATGAACTCTGATGCCGCTGCTGAAGATGGTGCCAACACTAACCAGCGCAGGCTTAGAAAGAAATCTCTCATCAAGGAACCATTGAAATATACGACACAGTTTGCTCAGAAACTTCGAGATGTTAGTTGTCATTTCGTTAGTTCTGTTAACGCATTTTTAACCACTCATCTTGGGCTGGTTGTCATTCATAAATTTCTATTAACAAATGTTTTTATTTAAGAAAATATGTCAATATTTGATTCGTTTAGTTCTAGAATTTACATATGTTTCATATTTAATTAAAAAATAAATATATTTTATATTATTTATTTTATTATTTGAAATTGAATGCAACAGTGGAGGGAGCACAAGTACAGAAGAAGGCAGAAAAGCTCCAACAAGAGTCACAACAACAAAAGCAATCAACTCACATCTCCCAAGGTCTCAAGCCAAATCCAGCCACCAAGAAAGAATAATAATAGTAATAAAAATAACGGCAAAAATAATAAAAGAGCGGCAAACACCCCATTATCGATATCCTCATCAGATAGTAACAACAGCCAGGCTGAAGATGACGTGGTGGGTGAAGATGAGGATGACGTTGAGAGAAATGGAAACAGAGAAAAACCACGAAGCAACAAAAGAATAAAACTACGACAGCCACCAAACATCACCACTGTCATTCGCAATACCAGCACCGCAAATGCTCCCACCGGAATTAAAATAACTTTCACTCCACCTAAATTCTGTGGTAGTGGCAGTAGTGCCGTTAGTAAAATAGAACATCTTCCTGGTACAAATATAGCCAGTTCTGGAAAATTATCAAACTCACAATTTCAGACATCTATATTAAGTAGCATCTGTAGCGGTAGCGGTAGCGGTAACATCGTCATAAACGCTGCAGACAGTAGCATTAAAAAAAGTCCAACTGCCGGCTCTCGCGTTAACCCTGTTGTCGTTGTGAAAAAATCTCCCCAACTGACTTTAAATAACGAGAGCTGCAACGGCTCCAGCGCCAGAAACCTCAGCGCCGACCTCACTGACGCTGCGACAAACCTCGCGTTAAAACCCACGAAAAAAATACCAATCGTACTAAGAAAGAAAATTCATTTAATAAATAATAACGACAATAACAATGACAAGAATTATTGCGACGGTAACAACGATGGTAATAACGAAATCGCCGAAAATAACAATATGACGTCACAATCGACGCCAGTTGCCGCACTGGCTGAGGAAAATGATCAAACTACCCGCGATGACGATGACAATGAAGATGATGGGGATGATGACATCATCGATGATGATCAATTAATTGAAATAACCGACTCCGAGTGAGGTGTCTATTATTGTATATATTTGAAATATTCGACAGATCTCAAATTTTATATTCATAATTTCAAAGATTTAGTAATTATTATAGAACATTTTATTTTTTACGGTTGTTTTATTTTCTTTATTTGATGTTTACAAAATAAAATGTTTATAATTAATCATTATACATTATAATAAACTGCTCGTATAATGAACACTAAAAATACCTTATTAAACTGCCAGTCGTTTTAAAAAATTATGGATTGAAACTTTATAGTTATCCCATAAACAACTTTTTGGAAGCCTTATTCAATAAGTTTTAACCTATTAGATTCTACAGTTAGAATTACTTGAGGTTTTGAGGATTGTTACTGTTTAGTCCGTGTATGCACTCGGCTTTGTTGCAGCTGAACGTGCAAACTACAAAATGTTTTAGATGTTAGCTTTCGAAATTGAGAAACAAATATAAATTTATTTATTGTAATTTTCTATTTATTGTAAACTAAAATACAGATTGATTGATAACATTAGGTTGGATTTTTTAATAAATTTAATAGTTCTGCTACAATAATTTTTGAAAAGTCGTTGTCCAAGAATGGATAATGTGTGGCGCTTTCAAGTTGGACTCCTCTTGACAATGACTGTGACGCCAGCGACGATGGAAATGACGACAGTGTCTGGTCATCTGTTTAAATTAATGAATGTAAACCATTTTTGAAAGCTTGAAGTTTTGTTAAAATAATGTATAAGAGTGAATCTGAAATAAACTATCACCGAAAAATAAATTTTAAATTATAACTGGTACAATAGTCAAATGGCGAAAGAAATCATGATTACATTTTACAGTGTTGTCATTATATACACCCAACGTCTCCAGATATTTGTCAAGGTCTCCCTTATCGACTAGTACATCGTTCCTACTTGAAATGGAAAGGAATGGAATTTTCCGGAAAGCAAGTGACGTCACGATGTTACCCATCTGTTCATTGGGTCATCAAAATTATGCTTTTTCATTGTGATGTTTATTGCAGTTACTGTAGTACCAAAAAAAAATAAGATACAACATTGATGGTGGCTGTGGTTTGATGCAGGGCTACTCATAACTATAATAATTTACATTTACCAGTAAAAGAAGCATTAAAAATTAAAATATAAAAAAGAATAAGTGACGAACCACATTGAAGTTGATCCCATGTGAGACCTTAGCCATGTGTAGAATTTGTTCCTTGGTGCTATGGTCACCCATCAGCCCTTTCATCTTCCTTCTTGATCTTTCTATCAACAATCTGCCCAGTGGCCACAGTAACAGGTGGTTGTAACTGTTAATCATCATTATGCTTCTTTTCAATGGCTGGATCCAACTGTTATATAGTACAGTGATTACAGCATTTAATTCTAGGTGGGTGAGAAATAAGTTACAACATCATATCTAAACTTGTACTGTTTGACTGAAAATTTAAAAATTTATTCAATTCACCAGTGTTAAGAGACAATAGTATTTAGGAACATCAACCAAACTCATGAAGAAGATATACTTGCTTAACCTTGGTGGTTTGAAACCAGGAAGAGGAGAAATGAGAGCAAGTCTCTGGAATGACTCACAATTGGAGGCTAAAGTAAGAGCTGAGAAACATGCCATGCTGTGCCCAACAATCATATCAACCCTTGAATGTGAATATGCAAATTGTAAATCAACATCATGAAAATTCAATCATTTAGATTCTTAGCAGAAAAATTGTTTTTGCATCTAACAAAAAAATCAAAACTAATTAAAGAACATTTTAATTCTTCTGTTGGCCAGGAAGTCCAGTACAAATCTTGACCTTTCTCCCAATAGCTGGTAATCAAAGAAGTTATCATCTGCCGGAGAAACACCTTCAGTGTATTTGGATCCTGTGGAATAATGAAACATCACCTCTTATTAATATTAATTGAATGGCGACATAATTTATAACATTAATTATAATATTATTTTTAAATAGTAATAAACTAAGACTGATGAACTGCTTACCCACCAAACAAGGCATAAAAACCCTGCAATTTTCGTTATGTAGTGGCATAAAGACATTGTTTTGCAAGCTTTCCAAAACGTTGTCATCATCAATGCTGTGTTCATTCAATAGAAACAGCACATTTTTTGCATTTTTAATATCTTTTGGAGGACCTGTATCAATAAAACCGACATAAAAAGTTGCTCCCGCCGGACGACCAGACCATAATTCCTGACACGTCGTCATGTATGTTTGTAGAATTGGCCATGCTAGGTTGTCACTTGTCCTGAGTTTCATGTTGTGTAATAAACGTCGTCTGATAGGACTGAAAATTTAGTTTAGAATAAATTTTATAACTTTAATTAACTCTAAAGTTTAAACACCTTTAAAACATTAAAATTAAAAAGCTTTATTTGCAAATAGAGAAGAAAAGTTAGCAAATAGATTTAGTAATTTTAAAAATAAAAACAGCAATTTGTGACAATATTTTTTACACTTTACAATATTACAATTATATTAATTATTAACCTCTTTTAAATTTTTAGTAAAATCAAAAATCTAATTGTTAAATAAATATTAATTAATTAATTAAATTAAAAAACCTTACAACCTAAAAATAAATAAAAAATGACTGAATGTTTTTGAAAAATGTTGTGAAATTTCATATAAAACGCTTAAAACACTATCACTAACTTATTTATTTTACTGAAAATGGAAACTTTGTTACAAAGTAGAAAAAAATTGGAGGTGATCATCTTCATCGCTGGCTTATCGCCGCTTCAATGTAAACACATGGATGGGCAATTTTTTAATTTCAATAGCGCGCATGCAGCTACTAACACACTGCCTGCTAATTGAACTTTTAAGACAGAGCTGCAAAACTAATTCACATCATATTTATATACTCTACCTACCCATACAATTAATCGATATATATATCTACACAAGCGTATTTATACGTTTAAATCCAGAGTATCGGGAATTAGGAACTACGTCAGTACGGCAAAGCGGAAAGAAAAACATGTATATCGACGACCAATCATTTATCTGGATGCGTGTCGGTCATTACAATGGCATTCTGTATTCCGGCGTTAAACATAAAGGAAACGATTGTTCGAGTAATCTTACTCGCCCTGCTGACAGAACTAGTTTAAGCTGGTGGACTTCATATTATAAAATTTCATCCGCGCACATTGCCGTAAACTGCCATCACAATTTCAAGATTTTTGTTCAACTTATTTATTGTCGAAGGTGGCCAATTTTCGTCAAAAAGTAAAACGAAAAAGCAAACATTAAATGAGAAACATCTGTGCTTGAACCAATCACATCAATTTATCAACTACAAAAAAAATATTAACAATCCTTAAAAACCATCTTCAACAACCAATTTATTTCAAAACATTGTTAAGATAAAGACATTATCTTGATTTAGCTACATAATCTTAACAGTAGATGGTCTTAACGTAGCTCACAAACTTAGAAACGAGATAAATAACTGCTCCAATGTGCATGTGACATATAAATACACAAAGCATGGTCATTTAACTTTTGTTTTCGACAGTCGATGTGGTGAATTGATAACCATAACCATCATAAGAATATCTTTAGGTAATAATTAATATATATAAAGGTACAAACATATTAGCATTCCATAATTTAAAATAGACTACTTAAAAGTGAATTAAGCTTTTTTGGTTTTAAAATTTTAGTAGAAAAAGAGCCCTAAAGATGATAATAAATATTCAACATTAATAAAAAAAATGAAATATATAGCTAACACACACAAACACATTTTAATATTTATACACATATTCACATCCACACAAACACCTATATAACATAAAATATGTATAAGTGTAGGTATGTTCGTGTATATATGCATGCATATTATATACATTAAGAATCATCCAGTTAGTTTTGTTGTTCAACTGTCTCCTTGCAAGGCTTACTTCACTTCAGTTTTGGATGCTTCGTCAAAGTTTTCGACCAGTTCTAGTGAGAAAATTTGAAAAAAGATACAAAATATTAAAAATGAGAGATTGTGATGAAACAGGTTTTAATCTGAAAACAACCATTAGTCATGGCATCTATAGAATACATCTTACTTACCTGGTACTTCATCATCATCTTCAATAGTTCCAAGTTTAGATTTGTTCTCAGAAGCCCCTAAAAAATTATACAAGACATTATTATATTTTATATATTAATATTTGTCAGTGGCATTTAAAACATCATTAGGAAAAAAAACTTTGATAACATAAACAAAAACTGATCCAATCACCTTCAGCTTCTTGTGAAGCCATTTTTTTCAATACAGCCGTCAAACTATCTGGCCTGAGTTGACTCAATATAGATGGCAACAGATCCGTAACAGCTGAAAAAAAATATATCAATTTAAAAACAATCATCGAAAGCATCAAAACACATAGCAGGGTTATGCACATCAACCACAACACAACCTCGCTCCTAAACTAAATTATTTGTAATAAAAATTAATAATAATTATTACATTTAGTCTCACAATGACCAGTGACAGCAAAAGTATTTGATTGCAAACAGGCTTGAACCTTCGGGTTGTTGAAGTGAATAACATCCCCATCATCTTTGATCATGTTGACCTGAACATTTAAGCATAATAAAAGCATTGTAATGATTTCAACTTGTAAAATCGTCTTCCAGTGCATCAGGCGAGTGAAGTTTTAGCTAAGGATTTTATTCTAAAAATTTAAAGCTAAACTAAAAAAGTAAATATGTTAAATTGTTAAACTCATATGTTAAATTAGAACAATGAAGACAATGATTAATGACACCAAAAAAAAAGATCACCTCCTCAATGCCAGGAATGTTATTAACTCCTATTTTTTTGAGGACCATCTGTATTTTTTTGTCGTCAGTGACATTTGATTTGTGTACTACCTTCTTCTTTCTTCTGGCGCTACCCTGAAAAAACAAAAGAATGAATGAATAAGAACATATGAATCATTCAATAAAACAACATGGCGTCCAAATCGAAATTATTGAGAACGGAAAAATTGTTAACAAGAAACGAAATATGGACACAAAAACAAAAGAAAAATGGATACCTTTCCTCCGATGCGGACTTGCTCTTGCAATTGTTTTAATTTCTCTGCGTTCATTTTGTTCGGCAGATAGATCCGAGTAGGAGAAAACCACTTTTTACTGTCTCAAACTGAAATGTTTGAAAAGAAAATAATTTTTAATCGTAGAAATGGCAAAAAACGTTTTGAAAATAAATTCTAGCGAGCGTTAGTAAGAAAAATACATTAAAACAACTCCGAAGGCAATGCAACTCACGCGGTCATAAGCAAAATGGCCGTTTCTATATTTAGCATGAAAGATCTTGTATAAAAAAAACTTTTTTCTAAACATAGTCAACAAATTTTTTAGGTTTTACATAAGGACATTAAAATTAGAAATAGTACATAAACCGCTTTATACAACCCATACACCATATTTTTGTGAACATATATTTTTCAACTTGGTAATTCAAGATAAAAATATTAATTTTTTAAGTATGACAAACATAATATGACAAATATAAATATAAAAATATTCCTTATTTTGTTATTTTCATTACAACTTTGTTTTTTGTATCAATACATATATAGAGAGTATAGTGGTATATTCTATATTATATATATCAATAGTAATATTTTATATATGTCCTTATATCTTAGAGTTTATAATGTTTCAGGATTCATATATCAGCTTCATTCGACGGCATGAGTTGATTATATAACAATTTATATAATAATATATTGGATGAGAAAGGTCCAAACATTTTTAGTCTATTTTATCCATAAATATGTAATTAGGTAAAAATGTACCACAATAGCAACTTATTGAAAAAAAATAATATCCAAACAAAAATTTTTTTAATTTCCGCGTCATATGTAAATAATATGAAAAGCATTTGAACAATTTTTGTTATCATTAATATTAATTCTTCCATAATCTGATAAACTGAAAACGTTTTGGAATAAAATTGTCTAAAATAAAATTCTGCCAAAATGATGGACGTTAGATTTTGCGCGAAATTATCTTTCATATTTTGTTTCGTCGGTTTCGAGGTTTTCATACTGCCATCGATTAATCTGCACAGCGGTGCGGACGATTACTCGGTCAGTTTCACGGTCCTGTTCACCATCTCCTTCGTCCTCAACTACGTTACCTACCAGGAATCCTTCACCGTCCAACCGATCGCCATGATTCTCTCCATCTCCTTCCTCATTGCCACAGGTATTTTCAACTTTTTCGAAATCCAAAAATTATTCCAATCGCGCTACGAAAAAAATTGACTATGGACTTGATTTGTAATTGATGAATCCAACTTTGAAGTTATAAATTGTATTGGTTTTATTTTATTTAACTTTTAACATAACAACGCACGCTTGAAACGCAATACCAAACAACATAATTACACCACACAACAACAACAAAAAGACAATAACACTAGTAACAACAAAAACATATCCACGCTAAAACGAAAACAACACACAACAGCCCTGTACATGTTCATCATCTTCCTGATAGAGTGCAACATCAACTTCTCGAACAGGCCCTACTCCTTCGTCTACCTGCTGTCATCTTCGCTGCTGGCTGTCCTCTCAACCATCTTCAAAATCATTCAATTCGTTCATTGATTCTAATAGTCATATAAACATTTTTTAGTTATGTTAATAACAATATCAAGTGAGTGAATGATTGGTTATCTAACGGGTAGATTTATTTAGATGTTGGTTTTTGAAAATAATTGAGGTTATCTGGATATATAAATTAATCATTTAAATGATTCATTCATTCAATTTTTTCATTCATTCATTCGTTCATTCGTTCGTTCATTCGTTCGTTCGTTCGTTAGTTCGTTCGTTCGTACGTTCATTCATTTAATTAGTCATTGAATAAATGAATGATTTATTTATATACCTATTTGTATTTTGATTCATGTCACTCATCAGTTGAACACCGGTAAATGGCGACCCATCATTTCGCAAAAAACTTTAAAAATTGTTTTTTATTTGAACAATGTCATATAAATAATAAATACGGTACAATATATTGGTGTCAAGCGCAATAGCTTAAATATTTTAATAGTCTCCCAACTCTAAAACATTTACCATAAAAAGTCTAAAAATTCAAATAATTCAGTTTTAATCTTAACTAACAAATTGTTTATTAGGAATTCACCGGCTGTTGAAATGATATTTTAATATCAGAACAAAAACAAATTATGTTAAGTTGCACCCACACACACGCACACTCACTCACACACACACACACACACACAAAACAAATACACACACATACAATCTCACATCAAGAAAGTAAAAATGCCAAAACATGCTAGCAGACAGGCAAAGTACATGATGGATACGTAGAAGATGACTTGTGGCACCTTCATGAACATGTAGTTGTAACATATGGCCGAATTCAATACTAATACTTCTGTTTATTGGGTGATCATTTGATGGTAAATGATTATTGATAACGGTTTTGGGATTTATTAAATTTCGCTTATTGCAAATAAGTCATTTATACATCACCGTCTTCATCCTCACTAACGTGATGACCCAATAAAAATGATCCCTACTGCACCATTGCCACCACTGATGTAGTACGTCACAGCCACGACCACAGCCGCCAACGAAACGGCTGCCACATAATCACACCAAACGTCCTTCTCCATTAGCATAACTTCCGCATAAGCCATCAGGTAGATTTGAAAGTGCAGGGCGAACACGTACCGGCGAATGTAGTACCAGTTTACCATTTTAACCTATGACCTCGAGGTAGTGACGTCATTGGTGGATGTTACGCTACTGTATAATGTTAGCAGGTGACGTTTTTATTATGATGTTTTGTTGTTATGCTATGATGATTTTATTATTAGATTGTTATACGATGATGATGTTATGTGTGACGGTATTAATACGATGAGACAATATTATTATAAGGTTATAAGATGATAATGTTATTAGGGCGTTATGTTATGTTATAGCGATGTTATATAATGATGTTAATATTATAATGCTACATTATATTATACCGCGATATAACATAGTGGTGTTTTTACATGATTCATGGCGCATATATCATATATGGTATCATCACTTCATGATATCATTACTTCATTATCACATATGATATCATTACTTCATGTGTTGGCGATAAACGCTATATGATGATGATGGTGTGATATGTGGTGGTGGTACACGATGATGTTGTGTGGTGATGTTGTGTTCTAATGTTAATTATTATGCTTTGGTTGAAATTTGATACGTGTCAGATATAGACGTAGATTAGTGATGCGAATTTTCTGTCTTTGTATGATCAAGCTGTTGATGCTATATATAGTTGCTGATGTGTTAATGTTGTTGATGTTTTGATATTGTTGATGCTAAAATTGCATCTGTCGTTGGTGTTGTTGTTATTATTATTATTATTGTTATTAGTAGTAGTAGTAGTAGCAGTAGTATTAGTAGTAGTAGTAATATTAGTAGTAGTAGTAGTAGTTACGTAGTGGTTTTTGCTGTTGCAAAAGTTTTAAAATTTCTAGTAAAATCGTTTATATCTATAATACTTTGTGATTGTTTAGATTCCGGAAAATATAAATAGGATAAAAAAGTGCTTTCTTTAATTACATTAACCATAACAATTCGCATCAATCTAGGTCGTTCTTATAAGAAATCATTGCATTTGCTGTTATTGTCATTCTTAATGTCATTATTATTTATTATTAATTCATTACTGTTATTAATGTTTTTGCTAAAAATTCGTCGACCCAAGAAGCAATCCTGATGAAAAAAATATTTAAATTATTTTTATTAATATTTTGTTATAATATTAATCATAAAAAAATCATTTTTCGACGCTTTTATAAAATTTTAAGATTGAAAAAATTGTTTAATAACAATGACAGATTTACACGATCAAAACAAAAGATATATAATTAATTAATTAATTTATTTATTCATTCATTCATTAATTCATTCATTTGTTTTTATTTATTTTATTTATTAATTTATTTGCCCTTTTTATAAGAATCACCAAATTTTTACACGATGTATCCATAAAACAACTATTCATTTCTAACTTTTAATCACTATTTTGGTGATTCAAATAAAACAAAATGTTTCACCTGTTCATCATCACTTTCATTTTTATAGCCACGTTTAATGTTTTTTCAACCACCATAATCTTTATAATCATCATGACAGTTATCACCAACATCGTCGTCGTTATCATATCATGTTTCCTTACTATTTTTCAATAGGGATATTTGAAATATTCCATGCTCATTATGTTTTGTAAGCGGGAGACACGTCAGTCGGATAATTTCAAAGTAATACTCTCAAAACTTCATTATTTTCACAAATTTTGTTATTATACTTATATAGCTGTTGGAGGGATGGCAGAATTTACGTGATTCATTCCATTTCATGGACCTACCACTGATCCTCTTTATCATTTTCATCATTCCCATCGCTCACCATTCTCACCATCATCTTCATAATCACTACCGTTGTTCATCAACCCCATCGTTCACCATCATCACCACCACTTTACAGTCACCATCGTCACATCGTCACCATTTTACCAACTTATGCGTGGAAGAAGAATGTAGAAACGATGAAGAACCCGAAAAAACAGACGAGGAACATTTGATAAATGGCCTCCATGGCTGCGTATGGGAAGTTCTCCTGGCCGTAATACATTAGGATGGCTGCTGTCGTCGCTAACGATACTATAAATAGAATGTGTAACTATAAATAGTTTGTATAACCATAATAGTGTTGTAAACTCTGACCCTCGTTACTACCAACATCAATGCTACAACTTTAGTGTTGCAACTTCCAACGATCGTTGAGTTAACATTATTCACTAGGTTCAAGTTTTCCGATAGATAAACTCAACTGCTTCAAACGCAAACTTTGTTTAATGTTTATTCGAAGGCCAATAGTAATAGAAACACTAAACTAATCCAAGTAACTACATAAATCACATTAGCGACTTCTCGTCAGGCCTCGCTACTTGACCTCGCTACTCCTGCCCCTTAAATAGCCTCTGTGCTATGGTATGAAAAGATTCTATAGCTTACAATCGATTGGCAATTAGCAAAGATAACAAATATAACAAGGTAACAATAATTAATTATATAGCGTAATTCCACTATTTCCGAGGTTATAACAGTAGATTGCAACTATGGATAAAGTAATTATAAATAGATTGTTACTGAAAATCGTAATTTAGCCTATCCAAACGAATACTATTCTTTTCTTCTCCCGCTTACTGCTCTTCTTGGTTCGGTGTTCTCAAACATAAGCACAACTGCAACACTATGCTCTGTAGAGGCCATAAGGATTTGTGCATACAAAGGTTTCCAGCAAGGTTTGAAGCGAAGTCGTAAATCTTATTTATGTAGTTTCTTGGATTAGTTTAGTGTTTCTATTACTGTTGGCATTCAAATAAACGTTCAACAAAGTTTGCATTTGAAGCAGTTGTGATCATCTCTCAGATATCTTGAACCTACGGAATAACGAACATTTGACGATCATTGAAAGCTACAACATTGCACACTGGTGATGGAAATATAAAGATCATTGAAGTTATAACATAGGTGAGGGTAGTAACGAACGTCAAGGGTTACAAGAGAATTTTACATAAGTTTGAAGCGGTATATTGATGTAAGCTATAGTTCATGCCATAATTAATTTGATATTATTAAAATTTCAACATTAAGTAAGTTCAGAATAAAAGTTAATTTAAGAAAATAAAAATCGATATTTTTGATACTCTCAGAATAAAATTATTACTGCCATCATCCACTCACCATCATCAGCATTTTTGTAATCAACATCTTCGTTGTCATTATCATCATCTTTCACATCATCATCTTTTTCATCATCATCATCACTTTCATCATCGTCATCATCACTAACGTACCTCCGCATGTCATTATGACTTTACAAAATAAATCTTCACCGACAGCTGCGTGGTAGACTGTGCCTCCGTTTTGACAAATTATTTTATTAAAATAATTATTCTATTTTATTAATAATTATTTTATTAAATTAATTATTTTATTTAGTTAATTACAAAATTCCGAATCACGAATGTCATTATGTATTATACCGAATCGATCGAACAAAATACAAAGCTAACAAATATACCGAACAAAATCAAAAACTATCTCAACCAAAATATCAAACTCAACCAAAACTCAGCCAAACAGAATATTGTATCGAACAAAAACCGATTCAAACAGAACACCGATTCAAACAAAACACTTAACCATTTCGAATACAAAACAAAGGAATTGAAAACTAACTTATTGATAAAACAGCCGTTGCGCTGGCTAATACCAAGTCTGCATGTTTGTTGATTGTATCTAGTGGTTTGAATTTTACATACAACATCATGTAGTTTTTACTGAACAAAATGAACATGAACAATCGCATAGTAAACCAATTCATCGTTTTAGGAATTTGTCCTGTTTGATCGTTCTTACCGTCTTGTCATTTATGAACGGGTGAACAGGAAGTGAAGAACAAAATCAAGAGAAATTATTATTACTTTTGCTATTTTGTTATTGTGGCTGATGTTTTCGTTAAGTTGTTGTTATTTATTTTAGCAAATAATAAATCCTTGTTTACTTTGTGCTTTTCCAGTTTATTTATCATCTTTCATAGTCGCTTCGGCTGAACATGTACAGACGTAGAAGCGATGGTAAATTTTTAAATGCTTTCCAATAAACAGCAGACTTTATTTTGAATTTTATAGGCATTACGATCATTCACCGCGACACAAATAAGCCAAATTAAAATTAACTTCTACAGTTTTAAATCATTAAAAAGAACAAACGAAATAATGTTGATGTCGTTGTTAATGATGGTGAACTAGTCAAAACATTTTTTTTTCTATTTTGTTGTTGTCAAAATTTTTAACTCAACTTTTTTGTATTGTTACCATTATTTAACAAATTTGAATATAACTTTTTAACTTTATATAATAGTTTTGATGTTATGTATGTTGATGTTTACCGTAAACAATAATAAAAAGATATTCGAGGGAAAAATGCTTAGTCTACTAAAATAAAAGTGTGTCGACTGATCTCACATACACCCGTACGATTTTTTGGTTTTGTCTTAATGAGTTGAACTCAGAGCGCTCCAAACAAACTTTTACCGAATTCGTACTTCCACTTATTTACCTTATTATTATTACTATTACTTTTTATTATTATTATTATTTTATTATTAAATTTTATTTTAATTTAATTTTATTTTAATCATGACTATTTCTCTATTAATTAACTAATTATTGACTTTAAGCATTTGATGAAAAATAAAAGATCTGTTCCCATTATTCATTATTGTTATGGCATGACTGTTGTTGGGTCTGTTATTATTGTGATTATTGTTTTACCTTCCATTACTTCCTCGCCCTCCATGTTTGACATGCTACAGCAGACGAAACATCACCGGTGGAAAACGTTTTGCTATTACTATACTATAAACAATTTTAAATAAATCGAAATTATTTGTATTTAATTAAAAAAAGAATCTGAAATAATTTGTTACATTTTAGAACAATTCTTTCACTGGTGTTTGAATTTCGTGAATTAATTGTTTTCAAATGTGGAAAAATTAAAACAAAAAAGTATTAATTAAAACATGAAATTTGGATAAACCAATTTAACAGAACGATAAATAAAACAAATAAACGATAAAAAAAATGATTTAAATTATTGTAATAATTAATAATATATAAATAAATAAAAAATTTATTTATTCTGCAAAATTGTAGGTGAGGATGGCAGCCAAAATTTCGAAGGAGAAGCCAATGTAGGCCATGATACTGAGTGAGTGCCAGTATTGTTTGTACATTATTGGCTTCGCCAGTACTAAAACGCCTTTGATCGATTGAATGAATGTATGAATGAATGAATGAATGAATGAACGAACGAACGAACGAATGAATGAATGAATGAACGAACGAACGAACGAATGAATGAAAGGAAGAATAAATAGGTGAATGAATAGGTGAATTGATGAATGAATAAACGGACGGAGAATGTAATATGATAATATAATAACATAATATAATGATATGAGCAAAAATTTAACGTAACGATAATTTATGTAGCTTGATAACGATGTGATAACGTAACGTATAATGAATACAATGGTGTGATGTAATGATTTATTGTCAGAACTAAATGTATTAACGTATTGTAATGTAACAGACATCCAGCCAGCGAGAAAATAGGGATGATGAAGCGGTTTAGCCTCGTGATGGAGTAACTAATTGTAAGCATGGCCACAAGTCCGAACAAGATGAGCCCTACGTGTGGTGATTTTTGTTACTTCAACTATTATGACATGTTGACTTGTTATCTAATTACATAGCATTAGGTTGGGATGTAATGTGGTAATAATATTGTAATTTTGCGTGGCAATGTGATGTAACAATGTAATTAATAACAGAATGATACAGTGATGATGAAATAGATGAACGAAATGATAAAAATTTTAAGAATGAATAGATGAAAGGTGGATGGACAGGCCTAAAGGTATGGATGACAAAATAAATAAACGAATGAAAAAAATATATGAATATATGGATAGATAGATCTATAGCTAGTTAGATGGAAAAACGGATGAACGAATGATAATTATAGGATCTGAGTAGTTTAGTTTCACGATGAAATAATTAAAAGAGCGGGATGAGTGGCGCGAGATTTTGTTCAGGAGATAGTAGTACCAAATTATAACACGGTAAATAAAATAAGAAGTGAATATTACCCGTGTGTAGCAGGATGAATGGCACGAGATTTTGTTCAGTAGTCTTCGAGTAGCCGATTAATTCAGTGTGGAAAGCGCATACAGTAAGTACCTGCGCCATCCTAAACCAATTCGGCATTTTTGTCAAATGGGTAGGTAGGTAGGTAGATAGGTAGGTAGGTAGGTAGGTAGGTTGGTTGGTGGATATGTGAAATTTGATCCCTTTAAGTTTAACTTAATTAAAAGTTTTTGCTGTGTTTTGTAAGTTCAGATCGTTCTGTTGATAGATTTTTTTTAAAGAATAAATCATAACACTACAAATAAAAATTGTTTAATTAATTTACTAAAAGTAAATGGTCGATGTTGAAAAATGAACTTTTTGTTGCTGGATTGATGTAATAGATTTGTTTTATCGTTTCAATTGACTGTAGTTTGTTGAGTGTTGGATGAATTGTTTGCAAACAAACTTAACGTCACTTGTGTGCATTTGAAGAAACACTGTTTAGTTTAATAAATGCAGGTAGTAAGCCTGAGAAATGCAAGCAATGAAGATAGCAAAAAGTTGACTTATGTATTGTTACATAAACAAGCAAGAATAATAACAAAAGTCAAAAATATTTAAAAAAAAATGACCCCAACATTATTTAATAAATAAAACGTTATGCAACACACGTAAAAAATAATTTATTAACTTATTCATCTATTGATTATTGGAGGATAATTTACATAACTTAGAGAGCAAAATCTCTAAACAGTTCACTACAGATGGCGATGGTACAGCTAACCAAGCCAAGCACGTACAAAACTGTATATAACGTTGTTACGCCAGGCCGGGGTAGGCTATTACATTCTGACAAATATGACGACAGCGACAAATTGAAAGATTGAGGCACAGTGGATGAACGTGTTGCCGTGACTCCAACTCCCGCCTTGAACGACCAGCCTCATAAGCGATAACACTACTTTATTAATAATAATTTGTTATTACTAATTATAATTTTTAACAAGATATAATAACTTTGTTTTATTTTTAGCCATTTTACGTTTATTAGTAAATAGTTTAGTCATTCATAAATGAATTACATTCCAATAGGCACGTAACAGAGGTTAAGTAAAAAATGTGAATTGGACGAACACGAGAAATTTCCGAATTAAAATTTTGTGATGTTTTTCAACTAACTTTTATTCCTCAAATTTAAAGCCTAACTTATTCCTGCTGACCCTGAAAATAGTTGAGATACTAAATAGGTGGACGACTACTTGGCTGGTAGGACCGATGTTATAATCGATACGTTATAGGTTTGTCAATGTAGCTACTGAATGTTATTACTAAATAGTAATATTAAAATATTATAAAATTTTTATCAAAAATAAATTCAGCAATAAATGCAATAGATTTATAAACATTTTGGGCAAGGAAGCAAAAAAGTTCCCGCCCAAACGCTAGCTATGCCCGCCAGTCCGACTTTATATGAACAAAATCGTTTTTAATACTAACAATTATCTCTAATAATTAAATAAATTAGACAAATAATGGTATGCCTACCGGTCATGAGTCCAACCGGAAAGACGAGAAATCTATCCTTTCTAGCTCGATAGTCATCTTCATCGAAACTAACAACGACCAACGCTGCGATTACGTGAAAAATTAGCGCTAAAAACGTCACCACATATGAATGGTACTCCATCCTAATTGACTGTGAGAACGCCAACAGATGAAATTGAAAAGCCAGAAAGCTGAAAAATTTTGCGTATCTTAGTTTAGGTCCAGACTTGAATTTAAAACGAAACGAGGGAGACACTCGTCGAAATGGCTTTTTTGGTGACGATACTGCATTAGGCGGCAACGAGGTGGTGGCAGCGGCTGCAGGCTTTTGAGAATTTGACGCTTCTACTGCTGGTGATGTTGATTTTGTTGGATTCATTATACCTTAGTCAAAACGATACGGCGTGATATTTTGTATTTCATGTTCCAAAAATCCTGTTCGAGCTCAATGTTCCAACTCTTGTTTGTTTACTCATTCAAAAAACTTTTTTTCAACGAAATTATCAAAAATTAAAAAATAACAAAATGCAAATAGGCAAGTAACGAGAAGGAAATCAATTAAATTTCCAATCTTTATTATTTATTTGGTCTGATTCGTCGTAACAAAACATCGTTCGACGGAAACGAAAAATAAAAAAATAAATACAAAAGCAATATATTACTGCTGTTTATCAACAAAAGCGTTTATTATTGATTATCGCAAAACACACACACACATACACATACAATAATGTATATACATATATCATACATATTATACACAAAAAGTATGCTGTTAATTTTTGAAATTACATTTTACATGTTGGGTTTGTTTTAACCATTGTGAAACGTTTAATGATGGCAATTGTGACGCCATTGATGAGTCAGCGGTGGCAAATGTACATGGCACCTGAATGGACGGAATTTCACCAGCCAGCATACCAACTTCTAATTGAAATAAAATATCATGAATATAGCGTTGAGCCACAGAAATTTCTACCCTAGGCCTGTTGCAATTTCTCATTTTGTTCGCAACATATTCTGCAAAAGCCAAATTCTCATCTCTAAAAGAAACAATTTCCGACAGAGACATGCACTTAACAGCTTGTTGTGCAGGAGAGTCTTCATTAATTCGGACTCGTTTATAAGGATTCTTAGGTGTTTTAAATAGTGGGTAGTTGTTCCCATGTTCCACATCTGTTACATCTTCTTGCTCCTGATCACCAGTGTCCAAAAAGGTGTCCTAAGACGAAATTTTTATCAGTTGAAAGTTAAGAACTTGACAAATTTATTTACATAACAATTCTATAAAATTTTATCAAATTCCTCTCAAGTTAATGCTATAATTATATTCAAAATTTTCTGTCAAACATGCAGCTTCACATTAAACCAATTAGAGGGCTAATTGCATCAGTTACGAATATTGAACTAATGTTTAAAAAACAATCCGTTTGCAATGAATCACAGCAAACTCGTGAAATGCTCAATTCACAAATTTTAAATAGCTCTGATAATTTGATGGACTGAAATTGTTAAGCAAATTTTTTCCTGTAAAGGTGTTTTGAGTAATTTGAAAATTACTGCACATCTAGCAGTTTTTTCAAAATGCTGCAACAGCATACCAGATTCTTCAACTGTTTAATAAAATGAATAATATGTATTGAATTTAAACTTGACTTGAATTTCAAGTTCGTTTATCTATTTTAGTAATTTATTTACACATTTAATAATTTATATTCCTTTCACTAAGGTTACTACTAGTATTATTTATTACTGCAATTATTATTACTATTACTATAATTGTTGTAACCATTCTAATTTGTTAAGTTAATTTGAGTGCCTTGCAATTTATAAATTGAGCTAAAAAACATATTTGGCTAATCGATTGAGCGAAGCTGTTCAAAACAAAACTGATGGATACACTTATCTGTGTACAGTGAGGAAATGATTGTGCTGTCAAAAGCTATTTTTTGCCCTGAAAAAAACATTGTTTCTATGATAGACTACAAAAAATTAATTGGTTTGAAAAATAGACTATGACAACTAAAAGGCCAGCAAGGTAAAATCTTGTCTATAATATCACATTAAATTCTTGTTATATATATATATATATATATATATATATATATATATATATATATATATATATATATATATATATATATATATATTGGTAACAGACTGTTGTTAACGCAAACATTTCAAAAATTCAACACTACTTTCAACATTGTTCAACTTTTTTATATTTCTTTTTAATTTATTAATTTCAGAGAAATTTGACATTTTATTGTTTTTTAAAAAATTTTTATTAAATAAATTTGCAAATAGCTATTTTGAGTTATAAATAACTCATCTTCAGTGCATTATATATAAGGTATGTCAGATATTTGATATAAAGGAAAAATTTGCTTTTATATCAAATATCTTACATACCATATATATAATGCACTGAAGATGAGTTATTTATAACTCGAAATAGCTATTTGCAAATTTATTTAATAAAAATTTTTTAAAAAACAATAAAATGTCTAATTTCTCTGAAATTAATAAATTAAAAAATTTGAACAATGTTGAAAGTAGTGTTGAATTACAATTGAATTTTATTGAAAAACAATAAAATGTCTAATTTCTCTGAAATTAATAAATTAAAAAAGTTGAACAATGTTGAAAGTAGTGTTGAATTTTTGAAATATATATATATATATATTTGATTAAATATATCTGCATTTTGATTAAATATATATATATATATATATTTTAGTTGAACAAGACAGACCTTTTTAAATATTTTTTGATCTATTTTGTATATACAATATACCAATTTCCCCATAAATAAATCTTTTTTAATGAAAAGCAATGATTTATATTGTATTTTTAATTTCATATAAAGTATTGTTTCCGGCATTTGTTAAGGCTATATAAGCCTCCTCTGGAAAGCACGTACAGATTGTGGTACCACAACATAGCAGGAGACAGATTTTCAACTGCAAAGATACCTACTAAGGTAGTTTGTGATAAATTTTGTGATTACTTTGTTTTCCAAGCAGACAGAAAAGTAAATACTTTGTTGTTCATTTAGCTAGATGGAGAAGAAGCTTGGCAATATGAAACAATAAAATAAATAAAACAATTTACATTTATACTAATTTACTTAAGTTGAATGTTTACAAATAAAGTACATGAATAAACAACTTCTTTATTGCATTTAATTAAATTGAATCTTAGTTTTAATTTTGGTTTATTTATTTATTATGTGATTCATGATTAAATAGAAAATAAGAAAAAGTAATTAATAGAATAATTTTTTCTCACTTCATCACTCTGCATATCCTCCAGGTGCATGTCTGTGATTTGGCTGCCCTTTGAGTCATACGATGGTAATAGGAACTGCAAATAGTTGTAAGCAAACCATGCCGACTTCCTGGTCCCACTTGCATTCTTTTTTCGTTCCCGGTTGAAGGATGTTTTTATATTATGAATTTTCTTTTCTACCTCTGACTCTGTAACATTGTACTTTGCAGCCAGAGATCGCAGGGCCGCCTTTCTTTTTTCCCGGTTTTTAAAGTCCGGACTCGTTACGTCCCACAAACAAGAACATGACGAACGATAATCTTCAATAAATTTTAAGACGAGTTCGTTAGACCACATGCTTTCAAAAAAAAGCTATTTCAAATATTTTTGTAACATATAAAATTTAAATAATTTTTCAAACAACTTTAAAAAACTAAAATTTAACCTGAAAGAAAACAATAAAAATAATAAGAATAATGAAACAAAATCCAAAGAAGCGATCGGGAACTTGAGACGTGCGATTTTCGGTATCGCCGTAAATCTCACCATGTCCATATAGAAGAGGGAAGGACCGCATATATAGTGTACTCGGAAGATCAGATTTTCAATTCATTGGACATTTTATTCTATATATATATATATATATGATTGGACGCCATTTAAACGATGACGACTTCTTAAATGCATTTTACATCACTTGATTAAAGATATTATTTTAATATCGTCTTCACTCAATATTAATTTCATAAAATTTAAGGACGAAACGACATCCAACAAACAGATAATGATTAATTTCATAAAACTTGAGAACGAAACGACATCCAACAAACAGATAATATACAGAAAAATTAGAGGATTTGGTTAATTAGTACACGATGATGAACGACAGAAATGAGTGTGATCCAAAACTGCAACAGCTTGAAGATGAGAGAACGAGAGGACACAATTTGAAACTGGATATGTGTTATTCAAAAAAGAATCTCAGAAAGAATTATTTCTCCAGTAGGATCATGAATAGGATAGTAAATAGGATTGTGCCAACAGTCTGCCAAATGGTGTCTTAAATACTGATAGTGTGAATCAAGAGGCGGTTCCGAAAACTTAATGGATCATATACTATACATAATATGCTAATTATCCCCTTTGATAATTTTTCCAGAAAGTTCCAGAAATTACAGGAATGGTTTTCAGAGTAAACCTTTACGCAGCTAAAAGGTGTTTGTTTTGTTTTTCGTTAGATTAAATTTAGTCAAAATGTTTGATTGATGAATATTCAAAAAATGATAACTCTAGTCAATTGTTTATTTCCTCGTCAAAATTTATCGACCCAAAATACTAATAAATCAACTAAAAAATTAATAAAATATAAAAAGAATTTTGAAATAGATTGTATTTTGTTATAACAAGCCAGCCAAAAGTTTTTTGCTGTTGATGATAGATGTCTATAATTAGACTTTAAATAACAATTAATCAATCCTCGTTTATAGTCTCCATCCGTTATGGGTCGGACAGACTTTAAATAACAAATGACTTCAAACGTAGCTGGATAAAGATTTTGTGGGTTTGCAGAAATAACAAGTAACAATCTTTCCCCATGTTCACTATTATTTATGCTGATTTAAAAAAGGCGTACACAAACAAAACCTGAAACAAACCAGAAAGAACAAACAGCGAACGTAAAAATGTTCAGTTGTTCACACAAAGTAGAAATAGAAAGTCACACAATCACAGGTCAAACTGATGAGATGATCCGCTTGCAGTCTTTCCAGTGACGTCAGCTGTAATGTCGTCCTCGTCACCGAATCGATTGTAGTGATCTGCGTTTGCGATGAAGTGGTAGAAGTAGTTGATTATGGTCTCATACGCTTGAATGCTGATACGTTCGTTCGGTCCGTGTACCATTGACGACTCGTTGACGAAAACTATAGTCGGTATAAACCGGTATATGTTGTCGGATATGTTGACGTAATGACGAGAATCGGTTAGAGGGAAGAGAGAAACTGTAGCGGTGGTTCAATATTTTAAAGTTGGTTGAATCAAAATATAAGTTGAATACAATTTTCTCAACCAAATATGAATATCGTAAACTTGTTAAACGACCTACAAAATGTAATATTTGTATTTAATAAAATTTTATGATAGGAATCGAACTGAAGTGCTTGAATGTTGTTTTTTAGTTCCTACAGGTTACTCATAAAAATTAACAATTATATGCTATTTGGAGGTTCCATGCATAATTATTGCGAACGAGCGACGGCGATGCTGGCCTTGCTTGCACTGAAGGAGATAACGATAACAACACCACAGAGCCATTCCACTACTAAAATTTCAAGAACATACCAAATAAACTATTAACAAAGTTGTGAACTGAACTTTTTTAGAAACTCAACAATTATCGACAAACTTGGTAAAATCATTAAATTTCCCTTCCATATCTTCTGTAATGTCCTTTCAATGAGTTCAAATCCAGGACAGAATGTTGATGATGAAGATTCATAACATGACTGAGGAGTGGGTTTGGAGTATTCCAATATTTTCATTTTCACTCTTTCGTCGTTTATGACATTTTTATCATGCTCCAAAACCTCAATTTGAAAATATCATTTTGTTATTACTCTTTTGGAATGCCACATTATGTAACAAATTTATTGTTTGTTCATAATAAACGAATAAACGAGTTACATTATTACAAATTTCATGTAAAATATTCAAGGAATCAAAAAAATTTAACCAAAAATCGCTGAACATTTCAAAATGATAATCGACAAGTATAAGAGTAAACAGAGTTAATCTAATTAATTGATAGCCAACAAACCAGGCGAACAGCCACGCAACTTACTTCCTCTAAAGTTTCAGTCATGTGAATGCGATGATCCACAACTGCCCTGGCCTCAGTGGCAATGACATTGTTCTGTGTGTCGTTGTCGTCGTGCTCAAACAGTTAATTAGCACTACACAAAACTGTTAAATTATCTAATTGTGAAATGCTAGTAAGAGCTACAAATTTTTCAAAAGGCATTCATCACTAAAATGATTATACACGCTTATAAACGCACACACCACACACACACACCCAGGACATACACGCACACACCACACAACTACGTATGCTTAGGTATGGAGGAAGAAGAAAAGAGAATATTTATGAGTAAATTTTTTACACATAAAATTTTTGGATAATCCAATTCCACCATCCACTCTTGTAGTTACATCACTATTGTTAAAAAAATAAACTAATAAAATAAAACTGCCAATTTTACAACTAATATTGCTACTAATAATAATAACAACAACAACACACGTTTAGATGACATTTTCCCCGAGATCGGGGGTTGCCGTTTGGCTACCTATGATGAAACCGAAATACCCCTCGACGCCATCCACATCTGTCACTCGCCTCAGTATCACGCAACCCCGCTTTCACCCACCCTGTCCTTCTCCACCTGCTCTCTCCATCCCAATCGCGGACGACCCCTTCCTACCACTCCTTCAACCTCGAACTCCAACGCTCGCCTAATCCCGACCCTTTCATCCCTTCTCAACACATGTCCATACCACCGCAATCTCGATCTCCATATCAATGTCACAATGTCCTCATTCAGTCCCATCATCGACATCAGCTCTGTACTACTCCTCCTATCCTTCACTTTAACCCCACACACCATCCTCACCATAGCTCTTTCAGCCCTCTGCAGTACACTTTCCTCCTCTCTCCTCAACACCCAAGTTTCACCACCATATACCATCGCTGCTCTCACACATGCTTTATATACCCTCCCTTTCATCTTCACTGACCATTTCTTTCCACACAATACCCCACCCAGTTCCCTAAATTTCATCCATCGTACACGAACTCTAGCCGTAACTGCGCTCAAACATCCTCCATCCGCGTTCAGCTTATCCCCTAAGTAAACAAAGCTTTCCACTCTTTCGATACCACCACTCAACCCCGTCCTTGCGTCCGTCCTATTAATCACACCATGAACACATTTCTTACATTTGAACGTTCCTTCCACCTTTTTCAGTGCCCCCCTCACACCACTACATCTCTTATGCACCCATTTCTGACATCCTATACACAATACCGAGTTAGCCTTCACTCTCCTGTCACATACCCCACAGGGGTCTATTTTACTTATCACTCGCTCCCCACCTTCCCCACTCACCATTACCTTCGTTTTACCAATATTAACTTTTAACCCTTTCTTTTCAATAACACTTTTCCGTCTGTCAAATTTTAACTGCAATTCTTCCATGCTATCAGCCATCAAGACTAAATCATCTGCATACAAAATCTCAAATAACAACCCCTCCATTATGTTTCCACACACAACATCCATCACAATTGCAAACAGAAACGGTGATAACACTGATCCTTGATGCACTCCTACCTTAACACTAAAAGCGTCCGACATCCCCCTTCCAACCCTCACCTTTGTCTTTGCCCCTTCATACAGCTGCATCACAGCTTTAACAAGTCTCTCATTCACTCCTTTCTTCCTCAACGCCCATTCAATGACCTTCCTCGGTACTCGATCAAAAGCCTTTTCAAGATCCACAAAACACATGTACAATCTTCGCTTCTTCTTTCTATAATTCTTCTGCAACATGCAACATTCTCACCATGAACAACGCATCCACCGTTCCCCTACCAGGCATAAACCCACACTGCATTTCATTAACTGTCACCATATTTCTCAACCTCCTCTCAAGCACCCTCTCCACTACCTTCATTCCGTGCTCTAGCAATTTCACACCCCTATATGACCCACAATCTCTCACATCTCCTTTGCCCTTATACAACGGCACCAACACACTGTGTCGCCAATCCTCAGGTATACCTTCATCATCAAACATACTGTTAGCAACTCTCATCATAACTTCAATTCCTATCACCCCACTCGCTTTTATATGTTCTGCCGCCACTCCCGAAACCCCTGTTGCCTTACCTGGTTTCATTTCTCTAACTGCTTTCTCTACTTCCTCTATCGTCACCTTCTCTATAGGTCCGTGTGTGACCGCGGATTCCACATCTCCATCCCACTCATTCTCTTCATTCATCAACCTTTCCATATGAGCTTTCCACACCTGAGCTTTTTCCTCCTCATCTATGCACAACTTGCCAGATCCATCCCAAACACATCCATTCCCTATAACATTTTTCCTATCTTTCATTGACTGCTTTGCTACTTTGAACATTTTCCTCGAACTCACATCAAATTCCATTTCCTTCATTAACCTATCTGAAGCTTTCGCCATTGCAGTTGCCACTGCCTGTTTTGTAACCTTCTTAGCCTTCCTATACTCAGACTCCGCTTCCTCCGTCATGTCCCTTCTCCATACCCTAAACCTCTCCTTCTTGACCTCCAAAACCCTTCTTATATCTTCATCCCACCACCACGTCTCACCATGCCTACACTTTCCTTTCGTCCATCCACATACTTTATCTGCCGTAGCCGACACACAGTCCCTGTATCTCTCCCAAACATCTCCATCCTTACCACTCTCCCATTTTCAGCCACCTTCACTTCAAATGCCTTCCTCACCTCTGCATCCTGCAACTTCCATGTCTTTCTCTTTGCCACAAACTCATCCTTCTTCCTCCTCCCCATTTCTTTTGATGTCACATCCATCACAACCATACTATGCTGCAGCATACCAGGTATCGCCTTCACATTTTTCACATACTTCCTATGTTTGGTCCTTACCAATATATAGTCTATCATCGACCTATGCTCCCCTGACCTATATGTAATCAATCGCGCTGGTTCCCTTGTAAACCAGGTATTCTCCACCACCATGCTATGTGCATCCGCCAACTCCAACACTCTACGCCCTTCCTCATTCCGTATACCATATCCCCATCCCCCATGTACACCTTCATATCCGTCTGCATCCACCCCCACATGACCATTCAAATCACCCAACAACACCACAAACTCATCCAAACCCGCTTGCCCAATCTTGTCAGAAACATCAACATAAAACCTATCCTTCTCCTCTTCCTTCATACTTTGTTGCGGAGCATATCCTGATATCACCCTCACTATTACTTTTCCAAACACCATCACCACCACAATTACCCCATTGCTTCTCCGCCTCACTTCCAACACCTTCTCCACCAACTCTTCTCTTACCATCACACCAACTCCTCCCGTACCATCATCCCCCTTCCACCACAACTTATATCTTCCACCTTTAGCCCCCACAAACCTTGTACCCTCACCCTTCCATCTGATCTCCTGTAATGCAGCCACGTCAACCATTCTCCTCTGCAGCTCCTCCACCACTTCCAAACTTCTTCCTGTCAACGTGCCTACATTCCAGATACCAAACCTCCAACCCCTTGGTCTACAAGTAGTCCTTCCATCTATAGTGCTTTGCACCGCCACACTATAGAGTGGGGTGCCAGTAGCCAGACCATCCACAGGGCCTTGCACCACAACCCCATGGACTGGGTCTCCGGAGATTCTTCGCACCCTCTTCTGCCGGATACTGAGGGCCATTGTTATTTCCGTCATCATAAGTATTATTTTTTGGCTAATTTTTACGCAGGACGCCCTTCCTTACGCAACCACAGTTATAAGCGGTGGGCCTAGCCTTTGATGATCCAACATCACTCACAAGGCAGTGAGGGTCAGTTTAATGTCATAACCAGAACTAAATAACAACAACAACAATAATAATAATTATTTATTATCCATTAGTATTGAAAACAGGTGGGTGACAAGCCTTTGTGCCGGCGTGGAACATGGTGATGGCGGTTGTAGTCCTCATCAAGGCGTTCATCAGCTGGTTGCCACTGAAGACGCTACAACAGCGTTACATTTTCACGCATTGAATAATTTAAAGTAAATAAATTCCCTATAAACTCTCGAAAAAACATTCATAAAGTAATTATTAATAAAATAAATACTGATAATACAATTTTATTTTTAAGTCAAAAATAAGTCAAAAAATGACAAAACGAAAATTCATGTTTCAATTAAGTAAGAACAGTTTTTTAGTGGTCTATACATCAGTTAAAAAAGTTAGCTTGCCAATTTTCTAGTGACAATTTAATATATATCTCCATCTTATATTCTGCACTATGTACAATTTTTATTGGATTGTATGACTTTTTATTGCCCTGTTTGATTTCAGGTTTAGTGAACACTTTCCACAAAAAAAAATAATTAACCACAAGTATACCCTTCTTCATATAAAAATTTCTTATTCATTAAATATGGTAATACAAAAAAATACCATAACACCTGTGTAGTTAAAAAAAAAGAAATTGGCACATAAACAATTCACTTCATTGTCTTAGCAAAACTTGATGAACCTCAAAATGAAAGTTACAATAATTTAATATAACAAACAAACAAACGGATTATCTTAAAAGACGATGTTGATCTCACCCGTTCAGAAGTGGTGACAGAAACCGCACATTCTTCAAAATTAAGCTGTACGGGAATCCAATCTGCAAAATTAAACATAAAGTACTACACTTAATAAGAGCAGCAATGCACGCCGAAATTTAATTGTAAAATTGAAAGATATTATTGATATTATTATTTAAAACGATGGCAACAAACATAATCAGCCATCTTATCAAACATGACAACATCAGTTCCACCATATGACAATCTGGAAGGTAATGGGTGGGACTCTAACCTGTCAATCAAATTTATGAAATCATCACTAATTATCATCCTCATTTTCATCATCAAACAAAAACCAACATTTCATGATAACTCAAACTCAAATTGAAAAAAAAGAGAATAATATCTGTAAAAGTGTAAAACAAAGACAAAAGACTAAAAATAAAAATGTAAAACTTTGAGATGGCATTTGATAGGACGCCAATGCTTGACTGCTTGTGGGGCATGGAGGCATGTCCCCCAGGCAAGCTGACAGACAGTTCAACTGTGGCACGACCTTTCTCTGATATTCCTATGCTGAAGTATGCATTTAAGCATGTGACTATTAATACAAACGAAGATACTAATTACAACGAAAACTTTAAATAAGTCATGATAATTTAATAATAATAACAATAGTCATACTAGGTCATAAAAATTTGAATAGATTATAATAATTAGAAAATTTTGTATTTTCACAAAAATGGCAATTATAAATATTAAACAAAGCAATTGTTAGACGAAACGTGAATCTTTAAAAGTAAATAATTATTATAAACATCATACACACAAAATATTGATAGTATTTTACAAATAAATAAAATGCTAATCAATATAAATCAGTTAAACTGAAAATTTAAACTATTAAGAAAAAAATTACGAGCTACCAAGCAACAAGACTGTCCATACTGAAGAATGGTGCTTTTGTAACTGTTGTCCCTTCATCGTGAATAAAAGCCAGTCTGACATTTCTTTTTTCCAGCAACTTCACTATTTCCACTGCTCCATACTGACCGCCACACTGAAAACATATTCATGTTAGAATATTTTTGTTGCTAACTTTATGACTAGAATTTAAACTTAATTTTAATAAAATAATGAAAATTATAAAAATAAAAAAAACTATTTTTGTTAAGATCACTATTAAATAGTTATCATTTAGAATTTCTAGCCTCTTCATCATGTCCAAATGCCAAATATATTGTTCTTTTAGGTTTCATCCCATTTTTCAGATGTAATTCCATTGCTTCCAAAATTCCCTTAAAAGATCAGGAAGATGTTTAATAATGCTAATTATTAATGATGACACATTTTACTCTCAAGTGATACATAATTATGTTCTGTCAATCACTGAAGATCAGTATTAATGAACAAGTGAACTAATCTTTTATAAATGTAAATGAACCATTAATTTAATATCAAAACCATAGAAATTCATACAAAAAGGCTGCTTTTGGTATCAATAGCTCCTCTAGCATAAATCATATTCTCAACAATGTTGGCATCGAATGGTGGTTGGTCCCAGACCTGATCATCTGTCGGCACAACATCCAAGTGAGCTGTCAGTAAGTATGGCTTCAATTTTGGGTCTTGTCCATTTACTTTATAGAGAAGACTGTAATTGTTTACACGTTCCCAGACTGTTAGAGGTGAATTATGCAGAACTGGATAGTCTAAAAAAGAGATAAAATATAGACACTAAATTAATAAATACTTAATTTTAGAATTGATTCATTAAAATCAGGATAGAAATAAAGACAATAACTATACTGTGTGTTGTATATATTATTAATAAATTCACCTTATAATTTAATTTTAAATTTTAAAATGAAGGACATGTCATATCTTAGAAAATGGTTTTTTTTTATTTTGTAGTATATTCAAAAAATCTAACACTAACTATTTTCAATGAAGGATCCAATGAGAGATAGGGCAGTTTCGTTGTACTTTCCAGCTTCCCAACAAACTGTTCGTAACATCAATCCAGACCTGAATCTTTCTACTGCCGAATCATTTAATTTGTAATCGGACAACTTTTCCTCTGTCGGAATATTTTTTGATGTAACTTGAAGGAAAGTAACCACCAAGAATGACAAAAAAATCATCACAACGGAATGCAGACGGCAAGTTCCAACTTAATAAAGGACCGGCAAGTTATTACAAGGCACGTACAACCTACTCTAACCACTTAAGAAAGTTAAAAAGTTAAGCCAAAGTTTAAAAATTTAGTCAGCTGTTGAATTAGTAAAGAAGTTCAGTTTTACACACTTTTATAAGAGGCTTCATTGATAAAACGACAGGACCCCGTTATATCCATGCCCGTAAATGCTAGCAAACACTCAGACTTATTCTATATATATATATATATATAATATGTATATATATATATATATATATATATATATATATATATATATATATATTATTGATGAAAATTACTGCATGTTCGGCGTTAGTTAACTTCAAATTTAACTTTTCGATTTTTCAAGAAACTTGAAAATGATCTAATATGTATGTATGTATATATATATATATATATATATATATATATATATATATACATACATACATTGCTACAAAAAAGTAACCTCAGACTGGCTTTTGTTCACGTTGAAGGGTCAACAGTTACAAAAGCACCATTCCTCAATAGTCAATATGGGGAGTCTGGTTGTTTGGTAGTTGGTCTTTTTTTTCTTAAAAGTTTAAATTTTCTGTTTAACTGATTTATATTGATTTATATTGATTAGCATTTTATTCATTTGTAAAAGGCTATCAATATTTTATGTGCATGGTGTCCTTAATAATTAATACTTTTAAAGATTCCCTAATACTCTGTGAATAGGTCAATCCCATGCATACAACAATCCATTGGGTAAACTGGTTTTAAATGGTAGTTCGTGTAAGCGGAAACAACTTAAATGGTTCTACACTTGTGGCAAAAATAATTTCAATGCTTTCATAACAACGCCTCACCAGAAAAAAAGCTTTGTAGATTTTGTTTTGAGCAACTGGTTTTGTTAATCTCTTTGAAAAAGTTAATTTTTTATAAAGTTAAAATTTGAAATCGATTAATAAATGTTAGACTTATCTCGAACTCTGCGTTGGATGTTTAAACGTTATTGCCACACCTGTACATCAATTTTCTCCATTATTATTTCTACAGCTGAAGCTCGCTCGCTTGCTACAGAATTTGTCTGTTGTTTGTTCTCCTGAATTAAATTTTAGTGCATCGAGCAAGATGGACGTCAATTACAGGTTTGGGAACGAACTGCCGAGAGCAGATGGACAAACTGGCCCTGGTTAGTTAAGTTAGGTGATCTTTTTTAATTTTTTTTGTACTTTATTTTATTTTAATATTTAATTGTTTGTGCGTGTCTGTCACCGGGTGTACAGCGTATGCGGTTGATTGATTGTGCACATTTTATTCTTAATTTTAACAATAATAATAATCTCTCAATATTTAAAAAATAATTATATCAAAAATTTGATTAAAAATTTATTCAGCTCAGCAGAATGTTAATCCCTTTGTAGTCCCTGTAAATCCTGGTGATCCCAATCCGAAGATCACTCCAAAACCGGATGCCAATTCTTACCCCGACGGATATGGGGATTTCGATTTCGGAGAATGTAAGTAAGAAAGAAATTCTAAATTTTTTTTTAAAATTTTTTAGAGATATTTTATTTTCTAAACAACTGTTTTGTTTGTATGTTATATTTTTTCTTATTTTAAAATAAGTCTTAAATTTTTACCTTGTCTTGTTTTGTTTCATGTTTTTACAGTTTATATTACATTTTGTTACAAAATTCAATTAACTTTTAATCAAGTAATGCCACCGGCTCCAGCTGAAGATAGGAATATAACTGGCCCTGATCCTAACAATGACAAAAGAGAAATGATTGAGTATGTGTTTCTAGATTGATTTGGTTTTATTTTAAAATAAATACATTATTTATCATTAACAGATAATCAAACTATTTAATTTCTATATATCACTTCAAATATAGAATCAAGCCAATATCACAAGAATATGCCAAAACAGCTCTTGTCCAGTTGGCATCTGCAAACTTCTGTTATGGCAAGAGGCCTGCAAATGAAGTTGTGGTGCAGTCTATGAAGCCATCTGCTGCATATCATGTCAGCGATAAACTTTTAGCTGTTTTTAATTATTAGTTTTGTTCTTTGATGATTCAGTGTTTTATTATTGTTATAGAATTGTATTTTTAAATGATTTATTTGATTTAATATAAATGTTTTTCACAATTTTGTTTAACTAGCAACTATTTTATAGTTGAGTAAATTTGTATAGTCTCAATAATTTTTTGATCTTTTCAATTCTAAAATTATAATTTTTTTTATAAAATATTTATGCACTAATATAGTACTGTCTTGAGAGCTTCTGTGAAGTGAGATCCACTGCACAAGCTGAAATACCATTTACAGGTAGGTGGTGTGCTAGGTTTGTTTATGTGAGCTTTTTTTCATATAATTAACACACTGTTTTAAATACATCATTTTAACCTAATTACTGGCAGTGGCTAATTAATTTCAATGATAATATGGAAAAATTGCTCATAAAAATAAAAAGTGTATTTTATGTTAATTTATTTTAAATTTTCCAAATGGCTGACAAAACTTATGGCATCAAAAAGAATTGAAGCAAAAACCTTCAGCAACATGATTAATGTACAAACATCGAATAAAAAATCGTAGGTGGAGGAATGTCAGTGGACACAAGTGCCAATGGTCAACCACCAACACCATGGGAGGTGCAAGTGTTTGCAAAGGAGAAGTTCAAGGATGAGAAGAAAGTCTGTGAGGTGCCCCACACAGCAAGTGTTCAAGTGAGTTGGTTAGATGTAACTCTCTTGATTAGGGTGGTGTAGAATTGCTTACTCTCTGAATGATGTTGACAGTTTGTTTGACTTGTTGTAAGGTTTCAAATGTTTATAACTATTCAGTTCTGAATGATTTATGATAAGTATATGGACAGTATCCTGGTTATGACATTAAACTGACCCTCACTGCCTTGTGAGTGATGTTGGATCATCAAAGGCTAAGCCCACTGGTTATAATTGGGCTTGCATAAGGAAGGGTGTCCTGCATAAAAATTAGCCAATAAAATATTTATGATTGCAAAAGGGATATTTCGGTTTCATAATAGGTAGCCAAATAGCAACCCCGATCTCGGGGAAAATGCCATCTAATCGTGTGTTGTTGTTGTTGTTATATGGACATTAGTGTAAGAATTGAAAGCTATGCAAACATTTATGTAAACCTTTGCATGACCTACTGTGATTATTAAGCAAACATTTTGATAATATTTCATGCAGAACTGCAGGAAGTGCAAAGGCAATGGCACAGAGACGTGTACAGCTTGCCAGGGCAAGGGACAGGTCAGTAATAATTACAAATTTTCAGTAAATATAATCTTCATCGATGCATGTTAGTATTTTATTGCTCGTGTAGATGTAGTGTAGTGCATTTGAAATTCATTGTTTGAGTAATGTTGACAATGAATTATTTATATAATAAACTATTGATGCCAAAGTACTTTTAATGATGTTTATAGGGCAATAGAAGTATTATAATAAATAAAATACTAGCGATTACTTCAATGGTTTTAAACACTTCTCATTTGCATATCTCTTCAAAATCAATTGACTCTTCTCCCTTCACTATCATTATTGATTTTTTGTTGCCTCATTGCTATTCATTCTCAGATAAATTCTGCTAATGATTAGTTGAATACTGAAATAATATATATTTTGCTTTGTTCTATTTATTATTTTATTTTATTTAACTTGAAAATTTTTTTTACAAATATTGAAGTCACTATTGCACAAACTGATGTTAAATTCATAGCTTACATTAGAAATATTTTCATCTAACTTATCAAAATAGTTTTTCAGGAAAATGTTTTACATACATTTTTAATTGCTGCTACCATTGTTTCAATCATTACCTTCCATCATTATTTGCATTCCTAACCAGAACCCTTGCAGCCAGTGCCAAGGCCCGCAATGTCCAGCTTGCCAGGGTCATGGTGCAAAAGTGTGAGTCTTACTGTGAACATTCATTGCCTCCCTCTACACATTCATCCACATATTCACACATAACCACATGTGTACCTATTCACTCATGCACACATACACGCATGTGTGTATGAACCCGTTTTGATGAACAAGCATGTACGCATATACACGTACATGTACATACTCACACATATACACATAAATAGGCACACACTCAAACACATATTTACATTTGGTCATTAAGGTGCCAGACATGTGCAGGCAAAGGCGTGAAAACCTGTGACACCTGCAAGGGTCACAAGATGGTCAAGTCCTACATACAGCTGACTGTTGAATGGTTTGTTGCAGTTGATTTTGATTTTTGTCTTCCCTTTGTTTGTCTATGTTTTTGTTGGTTAATAGTTTGTCAAAATAATACATCACCTGAGAAGACCAAAGTGTTGGAGAGTATTTTTAGACCTTAACATTTTTACTCCATTTGATTTTTCTATTTCTACAGCAACATGAAAATTTTAAATGCTCATCAGGAAGAATCATGTAAGCCATTTCGTGCATCAGACTCAAAGTTCACTTCCTGAACAATTGGTTCAAAGTGCTCCAGGGCAGATTGTCTTCAAAGAGGAAAATCCCTGGGTCAGTTGTTGATTGGTTGATTTGATTGGTTTGATTTATTTGATTGGTTTGATTAATTAATTAATCATTTTTTAAGCAGTTTAGATTGAATGGTTTGGTCAGTTAAATTGACCAGTGTTTAATCATTAGATCGATTGTAAACTTTATCAAATAATTGATTATATTTGCTAATATGCTTCTTTGCTTTAAAGTTTTCAAAGATCAGAATGTTTGGCTGACTTTTGATCAGCTTACTATATTTATATTTTTATATGATTGTTGTGTTTAATAACTATTGTGTTTAATAACTCAGGTCTATCCGATCCAGCAATGTCCCGAGCCGACGATCAACAAAGCTTCATTGGATCTGCTCACCAAACATAAAGATCAGTTCAAAAATGAACGACTGCTACTTCAGGTCATTACTCTTTTTGTTTGTTACCTCCCTCCGTTATAATTTCTTGACGTTATCTTACACGCATAATTTGACTATGTGACAAATTGCTTGCTGATAAGAAGGCAATCAACACAGACACACGTTATCATTTTTAAACAAACCCTGATAGAGACAAACGGTAAAGATAGTGCCAATAACAGAAGTTCAGTGTCAGTGGGAAGGCAAAGAATTTACTGAGTATGTCTACGGGACTGACAACCAGGCCTATTGCCCTGATTATCCACAAAAGTGGTGCTGTGGCCACTGTAACATCCTATAAATAATAAACTACCAGTATCATCATTATCATTATTATTATTATTATTATTATTATTATTATTATTATTATTATTACTGTAATATTATGGTCATTGTAATTAGTAGTGCCATTATGGTGTTATGCATATAAACGTGTATACATATACATGCATATATAATTACAGATGCTTTTTTAAAATGTAATGGTGTCAAATGGTTGTTTATTTTACGTTTCCAAGGTTAAACTGATATCACGCGTATCTATTTTATCTTGATTCAGGTTGATTTCGACTAACACCTGCTATCTTTTTTACGAATATACACTACACATATGTTCGTGGCATATATCAAATACTAATGCATCATGTAAGTTTAAATTTAATTAGGCTTTGTAACCTTTTGTGAGATGCTTGAGGAGGGTAATTTGGTACAACCAGGAAGGGATCAGAAATAATTTGGTAACTGGTGTATCACAGAAGTAGCATTCTGCATTTATTTGAAAAGTACATATTATACCTTATAAGGTATTCAATGGAGAAGCTTTGTATTCCCTCGTACAGCAGATGTGTTGGTTGTTTTTGAAGATGCATTTAAAGAAATTAAGTAAGCATTTTTTGGAGTTGTTGGAAATGAAAATTGTACATAAAAACTCATATGCAGTAAGGCTAGCTTTGTCGAAATTTGTTGAGGAAACTGTGAAATATCTAACAAATAAAGAGGATTCGAACCAAACTTGGTTTCAGCTAAGTTTTACATGCTTGTTTTTTGTTTTTAATTAATATGATTTGATCCAATATTTTATATCAGATTTTGAGTTTCGATATACAATACAATTGTATTTATGCAATATTATGATTTGTTCAAAGAACACGTACATGTAAAATTAATGAATATGCACAAATAATTTGGTATTGGCTTGGTTTAAGGTATTTGTGCGTATATGTGATTCAAACTTGGATATTGAAAATATGTATATATGTGTCGTATATAGGTATGTATAAAAAAATATATATATATATAAATATATATATATCTATATGACACTATGTGTATATATGCATAGTGTTATATACTATGACGCAATGATCTTTAAAAATTAAAGTTAATCCTATGTATTAAGAATTAACTTGATAACCGAGCTATTTATTTTATACTTGCCATGTTTATTTATTACTTTTAATAAATTTAATAATTTCTTCATTAATAATAATTCATGCACTTGTTGTTATTTGATGAGTTTTTCAATCAACTGCTTCCTCCATAAAAATTATGGCTCTGTATTAGAAATTTGTTTCATTATTGCAACAACATGCTGCGAGTCACACAATAGACAATAGATAAACAAACAAATAAATAACTTTCATCGAAATGTACAATGCAGTTACTATCATTTGGTACCAATGTTTGTTCAAGCACTTAAGATCTGGTTATTCTAATACAAACGTGGGTTACGATTTGTTAATGATATTTATTTACTTACATTTACGCTTCAATTGAACTTTTATTTTAATTTTATTTTAACGTTTCAATTTAAGATTTATTGCATTATTTGAGATAATGTTTTTTTTATAGATGTTGCTTTGTTGGTTGCTTATGGGTGTAATCAATTTATTTATTTGCATATAAGAAAAATCATAGAAAATATTAGTAAAATTAATGAAAAGAATGAATTAATGTAGATTTACACATGTGAGCGTGCGCGCGCGTTTGTATTGTATGCACATGTTATGCTGTGCAAATCTCAATAGTAGTTCAATTTTTTCGTCTTCATTTGAACATGTGTTCATGAAGTTTTTAGTGGTTTTATATTTCATGTTCGCTTTCGAAATTGCATCTGCTATTTATTGAAGATCTTTTTACGTTTTTACTTTTATTTAAATTGTTAACCCCTGCCATGATGATTTTTAGCTATAGTTATTTATGATATTTAACTTGTTGTTGATTTTTCTAACGGTATTTGATATTAGTATTATTTGTAGGGCTAATTTAATGCAACGTTTAAAAACTAAAACTGAAATATAATTACTAACGCTGCCTGCCGACATCACTACGATTAATATTTTATTGAATAATTGGATTATAATTTGAGCTTAAATGTTAATTTAGTACTATTTCCCTTCAATCGTTTTTCTTGTTCTTCTCCAATTAACTTTTAAAATCAATTTTTACGTTTTAATGATTAATTTCATTCTAAGTGACTGTGTGGGTTGGCTCTTTTCTCCTATCATCCAACCGGTTCCCTTCCTGGTTGGATGTCATCCTCTAATTATCTGGTTATGTTTGTTTTTATAATCAATGTATTGATATATGCTTATATATATATATATATATATATATATATATATATATATATATATATTTCGGAACGAGGTTTTCTTTAATACAAACATTATTGAAGATATATGCCCATTTTGCATTAATGACTTTCTTTAATGAACACTCAACAAGTCTGAATTTATTAAACTCATATATCTTCAATATATATATATATATATATATATATATATATGCTTATATATATATGCTTATATATATATATATATATATATTTCGATATTTAATATATTTTCAGAGTAATTTTAAGATATTTTTCCACATGAATCATGCTTTTTATGCTATGCTATCGAATGTCAATTACTTTACTAATTAGAACATTGAATGAGATACATGTTTCATCCAGTAAACATTAAAGCTGTCTGTCGTCTTTTCTTTCATAAATATTTCACAAAATTCGTGAGTAACTTAGTTTTATGCTGTCTGTAGTATATTTTGTCAGAAAATAGAATTTTTAAAAGATATAAAAGATTTTGCTGAAACGTGTCGAACGAACTTTCATCAGAAGTTCATTAAAGTTGTTGATTTAACATGTTTTGAAGGCTAATTTGACCGAAATATATTGTGGTGGCTAGAACACATTTCATTTTAAACATAACCTCATTATTAATTTTGGCTTCCATCTAGACAAAAAAAAAACTAATTTTCTTTTTTTCGAAAACAGTATTTTTTAACTAAATTCTAATAAATGATTGTGATGTATTACCGGTGCGCTTAACAAAAAGTAGGAACAAAATTAGTTCGTTAATATTCTTTATAATTTAGTATATTCGTACGAAAGTTTCAACTAAAATTTTTGATATATTAGAGAAAACTTGAAAATTCGCGTTTTAAAAATGACACTTCCCGCTGGGTCACTTCACTACAATCTGCGTAACAAAATGGAACGACCTGATGCTGTAAAAACTTTATTGAGGATCCACAGATAGACGGATATTTAATAAATGTAAACACTCTTCAGAAAAACAAATGTATTATCAAGTACACAACATCTTTATAAAATAAATTAAACAAGTGTCTATAAAATATGAAATGAAAAATGGCATAAGATCACGAAGACGGCATGTTACGTACAGCTAAGCTCAAGTGCATATATCTACAATTCTACTTGTTTTAACTCGTAAATGTACATTAAAAAGCGAAAATTAAACATAATATGCTTCCTTTTATCAATTGCATCAGAAATCTAGGATATGCTGAAACATTTAAAACACGATTCAGAATAAAGATAAAAAATACATATGTGGCATATAAAAGTGCGTATATTGTTGAAGTATAATAAATTACTGAAACAGATCTCATAATGAATTACATACATTGGTACCCATCGAGGACATAATAATACTTAATTACTTATAAGTGCATGACACGATTACAAATTCATAAAACGACTGGCAATTTTAAAATGAAATCTTAACGCAAAGAGCCAGGACTAACTAACTCATAACCCCAATGAAGTTGAATATAAAGTGTATTTTATTTAACAACAAGCATGAAGTCAGATGAAAAAGATCTGAAGGGCATATGTATATACGAATGATAATTACAAATGAACAATCTATCAACTAACATCATAAAATCAATCTATCTATCTAAAAAACGTAAATTGAATGTCATTAAACTTAACAAAAAAATAAAGCTAAAAGAAGCTATAATTCACAGCTAGGCCATTTATGTGTTTATTTATTTTTCATTAATTACTCAATATTAAACAATTACAAAAAATAACGAAATACATCAACAACTATAAAAAAATCGACAGTAATCGAACTGTAAACTAATTTTGAAATAAAAAAAATGAACGCCAACACTCATGAGCTATGGCTTCGTACCCTTAGACTTTATCATCATCTTCATCATTCTCCTACAACATCAACATAACACCAACATCCTCAGCCTCCACATCATCAAGCAAGATCATCTTAATCTTTCTCCTCATTATCATCTTCGTCATCACCTTCACCACATCATCTTCTCCATATCATCCTCCAGATTCTCATCCCTACAATATGGAACATCCACAGCAGCATTGCTGAGGGTAATCATCCGAGTAAGCCCTGTTTTCCAGGCCGTATACGAAGAAGCGAAACTTTTTATCCTTCCAATGTCCGTCCGCCTCTGTCACTGGAATCACCCGAACTGTGTGGCGCTAGATGGCGAGTCGGTTGTTAGGTAACAAAAGTAGTAGTAGTATAAATTATAATACATTTTAATAAATATTCATAACCACGTTTGAAGTTAGTACTAAAGTTGGTTAGTTGTTAGGTAACAGAAGTAGTAGTAGTATAAATTATAATACATTATAATAAATATTCATAATCACGTTTGAAGTTAGTACTAGAGTTGGTTAGTTGTTAGGTAACAGAAGTAGTAGTAGTATAAATTATAATACATTACAATAAATATTCATAATCACGTTTGAAGTTAGTACTCGAAATCGCATATAATAGAAGTTACGCTAGCTAATTATTATCAATCAATCTTCGTTTAGCTAATTAATAGTAGAATTTTTTAATTGTAATTGAGTTAGTAGTAATAGTAACAATGTGAATAGAATTTTATAAAGTCAATAGTTACGCAAAATAGAGGTAGGAAACGAAGAGACAGAAATGAAAATAGTGGCTGAGCGTTAAGAATCAAAAACAAAAACACGCAAATCAATAATTTAAAAAATGACTCTTATATTACAACCTTTTAAAAAATAATCGTGTTTGATTGAATCGTGAAATGAAAAGTTGAAAAAAAAATGTTTAAGCAAACTACAAGTAAAATTTGAAAATAAAAAACGCTTGTAACGTATCAACCTGTCCAATGAGTCTTTCATTTGGAAAAGCAGTGCGATGCTTCGCGATGATAGAGTTGGAGGCTTGGTTGATTGACGGCTCGGGGCAGTGATTGATAGGGAACACCTGAAAGGGTAAATACCCTCAATGAATAATTATAATAAAAAATAATTATATTAATATAAATTATATAAATTAATAATTATTAATAACAACACAAGCACGGGCACCCACTTGAACATTTTCTTCCTGAAAAGCAATGTGACCTCTGACATCTCTGATCAATTCATCTGGAAGGTCTGTACGCTCCAAGATGTAGTCTTGTGTGTGATTGATCCTACATTTGTGTGCGTGTGTGCGTATGTGTGTGTGCGTGTGTGTGTGTGTGTGCGTGTGCGTTGCATCTATGATGCAATTGTCTGTCAGGCTGGTATTTGAATTATAACTTGTAAAGAAATAATGAAATTGTAAATCCATGTGCAACAAAATGTCTGCAGGTTCGTTCTATGATAAGTTTTCAATCACTCCAAATCAGCTAAAAAAAAGTCTGTAAAACATTTGATTCTACTTAATTTAGGAAAAAATATAGCAGTTAGCGTGTCAAACCAAGAATTTTATCATTAAATTGAACAGCATTATATTATGTATACCCACTATATGTAGTAGTTGACAACCACCAATTATTGATCCAATCAAAAGATCAATCAGAAAACAAAAATATAACCAATCAATCAATCAATCAATCAATCAATCAATCAATCAATCAATCAATCAATCAATCAATCAATCAATCAATCAATCAATCAATCAATCAATCAATCAATCAATCAATCAATCAATCAATCGAACAGAAAACAAATGAAACTGACCAATCAATGGTGAGCTGAATGAACCACTTGAGACTTCTGTAACCCTGACACATGTGGCATTTGATACGACCGTGACCTCCACAAGTCGTGCACCTGTTTTTTTGGGGGGGCATGATTAGTATAATTAGTTGTTTGCTCGTTTGTTTGTTTGTTTGCTCATTTGTTTGTTTGTTTGTTTATGAGCTATTGAATAACAGAAAATTTGAGAACCATAAAAAAATTTTATAACAGTTTTAACAATATCAATCAAATTAACAATTAGTTTCTTCAAGTATTATGTAAACCTGTGCGGCTAACATGGCAAGACAACAGAATTCTGACAGGAGAATGAAATAAAAAAAGCTTTACATTTTGTCGTTACTGTAGAAATAAGATGGTAAGAGACCAAAATTTTGTAGGAAAAACTCACAAAAAATATGCAATAAATCTTGATGTAATGCGCAATGGTTATTGTAGATGAATTGCAAACAAGAAGAGGACAATTAATTATAAAACAAGTAGAATATCTCGTGTGATTTTACAAAGGAACAATTGTGCTTCACGCTAATTTATCCTAAGCGTCATGAGTAGTATTGGTAACTGTCAATTATCAAATTAGTACATGCAAGAAGAATTAGGAGGAATTATATTTAATGACCGTTGATGGGATTGTTTTATGCACAACCATCGTTGCCATCCTCATTCTCAATGACGTCATCATCAGACATCATCATCATAAATAACATCATCATCATCATCATCATCATCATAAATAACATCATCATCATCATCAATAACATCATCATCAAAAATGACATCATCAATGACGTCATCTTCACCTTCTTCTTCCCTGGCCTTGACAGAACATGCACATCTGCTGCTGCTGACTGGCTCCAAAAGACCGACCCGAGCCATGGCAGGATGTACACATAGACTGTACAACAACAACAACATCATCATCAATAATAATAACAATAATAATCACAGTGAAAACCATGAAAATAACAAAGTTATGCATTTATATAACAAAATCAAATAGGTATATAAATGTTGAGTGATTCTCAGTTCAGTAAAGTCCCGTTCTTACAACAACCTCAAATGATGGTTAGGCACGGAGTTTCACGTGAATATATGCAACACATACGTTGCATGTGTAAGGAGGAATCTTACTTGCAATCGAACGCGGTCACTGCAGTAGCAGTGCCAGGCAGCCAGGCACCATACCCATTACACCATTATGCCGCCCAATTATATTCATATTTGCAGTACATTTAAAAACAGTTGCACAAGTTCTGTCATCAAGAGTTTGGTTGAAACCAGGAAGCTTAGGCGAGAGGATGGTTAAAATAATCATATAAAAGTATATTGATTCAAAATGCAGCAAAGAGTACATTTGATCAAACATGAATAAATATGACTTTCAACAATGATTAATATAAAATTTGAGAAAAAAAATGTAATGAAAAAAATAGAAGTGAAAAATAGTAACCATTCCGTGACCCTGACACCTGTTGCACCTGAGCCAACCACAGGCCTGGCAGTACTCACATGGCTGAATAACAAATTGTGATTCGTTAACATAGAAGACTACAGAAAAAACATTCAATTAACATATATAAACATTCTGATAGCCAAAACAGTTCCATTCATTATCGAAGTTACGTTCCCATAAGCATAGAAATGATTTAAAAACAAGTGATCACATCATCATTATCTCTATTATTATAACCACTGCCATCATCACCTTAACACAAGCGGTGTGCGGCACCTCAATCAACCTCTTCTCAGTGGAGAACTTTGCCCCGTACGTGGCCGGTATGTCCCAAGGCATGGGGGCGGGTCCATTGTGCGGTCCATCAACTGACTGACCTGTCAATCATGCGTACGTGTAGGAGGAGTTAGAAAAATCAGATTCACATAACTTTTCAATGAAGCACGGACTTCTATAACTGGTTTTGCTATAGTTAATCTAATAATACCACTATCAATAGTGATTATGTAAATGTAGATGACTGAAAGTGAAAAAATAAAATGGAATTTAAAAGTTTGTCAAGAACCTGTGTAAGGTACCTTCGCCCACGCTGTCGACCTCTTCTCGCAAAATGTTTCCAGGCAGTACTGAATCATTAAGAACATAATTACTGCGAAAATAATATAATTATATAACTGCCGGCATGTCATTAAAACATGTCAACAACCATGTCAGTCAGTCTTTGAAAGTTTTATCTCGCTAATTATTTAAAATTTAAGTGCATAATAAATACACTTCCACTAAAAAAACTTTTTTTTCGCTTAAGAACTTTGCTTGCCACACAATTATGTTCACATTCCACATTTCAATCGGAGCGTTTAGCGTCAACTGCAGATGAACTAATCACGAAAAATGAGTGAATATATTTGAGGAATACACCATAACATGCCAGAGTTACAATGGTAATAATCATAATAATAATAATAATAACGATGATGGTGATAATAAATTCAAACTGCAATTCATTAACAGAAAAGACCACGAACAAATAAAAAAAACTTTCAATTCACATATTTGATAACCAAGACAGTTCATAATGTAAGTTTAATAAGAAATAATGAAATTTAGTTAGAAATAAGTATTATTATGAAGAGCGGTATTAAAGGAAGTAGTAGGAACCTGGAAGGCATTGCTAGAGAGCATGTTGCTGACAGACATCTCCTGGGCAGCCGAGGCACTCCAACAGCAGTGTGTGTTGCAGTGTTCAACCAGTGCCCGTCTCGCCTGGTCTTGCGTTATTATGGCTGGTCTGGCGTGCACAACATTAAATATCGATTTATTTACGATGATAATAAAACAAAATTCTAAAAAATTTGAAATAATTGAAGATAAAAGCATCTTTTTCTACAAAAACCAATCCAAAGACATATGTAAGGTATCAAAATAGCTTAATAGTGAAGTGTCTGTCTTGCGTGTAGTGAGGGAGTTCAAATGTAAAAGTATCTCATGTCAATCAAGAGAGAGTTCAAATGTATCTTTTGTTACGTTTGCAAGTGTGCATGTTTTTAAGCTGAGTGTTTATGGAAATTTCATTATCATCATCATTATATTATTGTTGATCCAAAAACTGTTACACAAATTACCCTTTAATATCTGGCCTGTTCTTAGGAAAATATTGGTCAATATTATCTGATCTTGGAGGCGGATTCAACGGAGCTGTCAATTGTGAAACAAACAAGTCAAATTAACAACTACGATTATGCAATTATGTTGTTGATGGTGCAACTAAAATCCGCTCAATATTTACAAAAGATGTCAATACATTTAGGCGATTAAGTTGAAATCAAATTTAAACAAATAACAAATCATTGGAATGTAAATGAACCAAAAAAACAAAATGTTGCCATAGGAAAAAAAAAAAAATAATAATAATTCAGATCTTACTATCATTGAAACCAATGGATGGATAGCCAGGTATTGGCCCCATGGGAGCAGATGGGTTGAAAGGTTTGTTATCGTCTGGTTGAGTTGGAAGCATATCCATCTTAACTGCAATGATGTACCATGCAATATTTTCAAGATTCAATCAAAGTATTAGAGTTAATTTATTGTGAAAACATAATCTAGACTGATATTTAGGTTATTTTTCAAAGGCTTAATGATATGTTGAAGTTTTATTCATCCTTGTAAAGTTGAAAATGATATCTTAATCCTAAAATTTTAACATTCTTTTGCTATGTGCATATCCCAACGTTCTCACACAAATTAATGCTGCATGAATTACTATTTATTTTATTTTATTTTTAAACAAAATAAAAAAAAGCACATAACAAATATAATATAAAAGTTTAAATTCATATTCAAAATACATTTAAAAAACTTATGAACAAACGAAGCCAAACTCTTGAATGAGCACTTAATAAAAGAAAAGCAAACCTCATATACGCATGCATACAACATTAGATTAGTGACTGTTACTACAAAATTATGAAGTAATCACAAATTCTGAACTACAGTTGGTTACTTACTGGCAAGTGTATTGGCACTACAATTCAACTTCAATCAAGTTGAATGAGTTTCAAAAATAAATTTAAATTTTGTCTGCTACATGATTGTGCACTTGAAACATCAACAGTGCTTCCTTCATAAAGATAATAATAATAATAATAATAATAATAATAGTTTATTATAAGATGATAATGATAAGATAATAGGCTAATAAGATGATTGAAAACTCATTGTATCCATTAACATCAAAAGTACTCTTATCATCATATTTGAATGCCAAAGTACTTATAACATGTAGGTTTTTTAGATTGTTTCAATATTCTTGAATTTAGATAGCGTTTCTAAAAAATTTCTCAACTCAATGAAGCAGGTAACAAAAGTGACTATAACAAAAATTTGTTTTATTTTTAAAAACCATAAAAAAAATTATTTCAGTTTTGCTGTAATAGAAACAGCTCTCAAACGCTACCAACAACATGATGACAAGAAAACACTGACTTCCTGGTGGTAGGGGTTCAATGTGGAAGGGTGGTGCGTGGCCGGGTGCGAAGGGAGGGGCTTGCCCTTTGTCACCAGCTGGAGCATTAGGGTTAGGAGGAGTGAATGGAGGGGCATCTCCGGGAGCAAATGGTGGCGCCTTCCCTCCAAAAAACGGATCTTCTGATTAAAAATATTAGTGATAATTATTATTTAATTATGTGTCATAAAAACATTTAAAAATATATTAATCTTGAATCAAGTTGTCACCTTAGAATACAGCTCAGGTTTATTCAAATTTGAATCATAAATGATGAGACTAATTAAAAAAATAACAACCAAATCAGTTAACATAATCAAAGAAACATTGATGCCAAATTTGACCTAATAAATCGATCAATCAACCATCCTTAGTTATATTTTATTAGTATCATTATACTAATAAAACAAAACTTATCAAAAAACTTTTAAAAATTAGAGTTAGAGAGATACTCAATCCTAGAAAAACTCATTTGTGCTGAAAAAAAATTGAGAAAAAAAATTTAAAAACTGATAACATATATGACCCAAACAATCAAGTAAAGCGTGCTGTATGTTTTTATAATATATATAAACTATATCCTTGTTTAATTCATTTAAAACTTAATTATGTTGCACATTCATGCAGTGATGCTTCATGTGATGAACTGGAACCAAATGCCACTTCAAAATAAATCTACATATGTTTGTGATTTTAAATTAACTGTAGTTCAGTATTTTTAGCAACACTTTTCATTTTAATTTATTATGTCTAACAATATAAATATAAATAATTATTCATTGCAGATTGGCAAAAGTTTAACACCAAATTTAAACTTGTACAACTGACATGTTATAAATTTCAAATTTTAACTGAAAATGATAACTACTAATTACATTATAATTATAAGTCACTAGACAAACTTTGATTCAAAAAAAACATTAGCATAGAACAGTTTCAAAAGAAAGGAATATCAACTTTTATTACATTACCACATATATACAATACATATAGAATACAAATTACAAATGTAAATAAAAATGTCATAGTCCTATAGAAGTAAATTTTCAACTATTTATTATGTATTACAAAATTTATTGATGTCAAGATTGTAATGTTTGTATTTTCAGCAAGCATGCCTGTGTTATTAATAATTTAATATGTCTTTGTGTTGTTTTGTGTGCACCTGTTTCAGGCATAACTGAATTCTTTCTTCACCTAGTAGCAGTTTCAAGTTTTGTTTTTTTTTTTATTTTTAACCAATTAGAAGATTAGAACAACTAACAAATTAATTAAATTAAATTTAGTATGTTTAGTTAGTTAGTTTATTAGTAGCTTAGCTTTCTTTAGCTTTAGCTTTTTTAGTTAGACTGTTAGAGTTTACTGTCTACTCTTTAGTAACTTTAGTAACTAAAGTTTAGTTTAGCTTTAGCAAATTGTAAACTTAATTTATTTTTTTATCTCTGTAATTTAATTTCTAATTTACAATAATAAATAAATAAAATTAAATATTATTAATTAATAATTAAAAATTTAGTTGTTAAAATAAATTATTGAAACAAAATTTGTCAAAAAGATTTAAAATTTTTAACAAACTGATAAAATTAAAAAAATAAATATTTTAATAACGTTAATTAATTTAACTTTACTTTACATGCACTATGTTATATTTGCACAGTTGATTTTAATATGAAATTTATTCAATCAACCAAAAACTTTTCCTAGAGGGTGCTCGAGTCTGGTTGCTCCTATTTCAAGATATGACGTTGCTGGGTTGTTTTGCTACCGATTACTAAATAGTGAGCACTTTCAATGAAAATAAACTATTTAGGTCATGTCAGTCACGCACAACTCATTAGCAACAAAACTTGATTTGACCCAATTGTTTTAGGGATGATAAGTTTTACCTACAAAAAAAATTTTTTTACGCTATTTATTGGATTGTTTAATTGAACTTTTGAAAAAGTATTTGGCTATTGTAAATTTTTACAATAGTTTATTTTCACATTACAAATATATTAAGGTATAATTACTAATATTTTTTATGACAGATTGATTTCATTGTATATTCTCCACACACAACCACATAGCAATTATCTTTTGAGTGAATAAGGCCGGGCAAAGACCAAAGTTTAGTTTGAAACATTTGTTGAGTAGTATAAATAACAAATATAGATAAATTGAAATAAGATATTAGACAGACACAGAGATAGATTAAACAGAGAGCTTTGCATAACTGCAGGACCGAAAAGTTAGTCATCACTAAGTGTGCACAAACGTTTTAGTTCTAAACATCATTTGACTATATGAATCATTATATTAAATAACACTATGCGTAACTTAACTTATTAATGCTTGTATAACTAACAATTTATTGAGTTTATTTGAACCGTCAACTATGTAACGTACTGGAAATGTTCAAACTCTCATGTTTCTCAATCACATTACTGTTGATACTGTTAGAGTTAGTTGAAGGGATTGGTTTAATACTTTAAATTCTGTTACAAAATTATGTTTTATAAAACTTTATTGTAGCCATATATATATATATAGAATAGATTAACGTGTGAGCCACAAGGCTTACCATGTTCCGATAATGAGCCAACTATTCTGTCAATAATGTTTAAAATTAAATGATTTAAAACATATATATACATATAAAAACAAGCTGGTGTTAACAATGAATGTTAGCAGATTTTGTTAGTTTGCATAATATGATTGAAATTAAACGTAACATTCAACCAGCGTGAAATCAAATATGTCTACCAAGAACGCCACAGTTGAATACGGTTTGCTAGTTAAGTCAGCCAAACAGTTGGTACAGATAGTTAACGGAGGTCAAAAGTCACTGACCTCGTCAGGTCAAGGTCAGGTTGTTGTGCTGGAGGCAGAGCAAGGAGAGGGCTATAGCATCGTGGTCAACAAGTAGGTGTAGTGACGTCATTGTGTTTGTTGTGTCACGATATTGACGACGATGAAGTTGCTTATAGAGTAAATGTTTTTAATGTAGCGAAAGCAATGACGTAGATGATTAATTGTGAAAAGTATCGTATCAAAGACAAAAATCGATTGTCGACGTTATTTATAATTGGAAAGTTTCAAATACCACTGACATGACGTAGACAGGGATACATAGAAAAGTTAGGCAACGACAGTGAAGTTAGACAATGGTTGGGATGCAACAAGGTTGAGAAGGTTATCGATGCATCAAACAAAGTTGTCATGCCAGGTGTTATTTGAGAAAAAATTTACTTAAGAGAATAAAAATTGTATCAATTTTACAATTTTTAACATTCCGTTTTTGCTTCCTTCCTGCTATTTTGGTTTCCTTAAATCTTATATATTCTTTTTTTTATCGTTAGTATCAAAAAATGTACCTAAAATAAAAAATTCTGAAAAGGATTAATATATTTATATATAAATAAATAAACACACAAGGACTGGTTGACGGCCACACGCATGCCGTTTGGGCTGGAGACAGAGTCCACGAATTCGCCATGAAGGTACGCATATATACACACACACAAACACAGACACACATATATATACATACATACATTTATACACTCATATATATATATATATATATATATATATATATATATATATTTATACATACATTTACTATAACGATCATCCACACATGCGTACCAAAAAGCGGCATGAATACACAATCGCGAGTATTAGTAACTTCAAGCTCAATTAAAAATGAAACACCAATTACATTACATCTAAACAAAAGCGCAAAACAAACACACATATACATGAAACACAAGCACACAAACAAACACATACTAACACATACAAACAAAACCATAAACAGTTGGCGGGCGCGACATACTTGGATGTGCACAAAGCAGGCGGTGGCATACATTTTACAGTGAGGCACGTAGCAGAGGCAAGCGAGGATCAGCTGTTCAATGATCTCAGGATCTATCTGTTGAAGATGCTACAAGCTGGTTATTTAAAATTAAACAGCTATTATTTGAAATAGGTAAGAAACTATAATTTGTTTTATGAAGAAATGTTTTTGTATTTTAGTGCAACATCGTTTAATTATTAACAAAGTTGATATTTACAATTACGCTAGTTCATGTCTCGTGGCAGTGTTGATTGCATGTAATTTTTGTCTTTTTTCGCTTTTTTTCAAAACTCTCCTTCTCTCTCTCCTCATTTTTCTTTTCCCCGGGCAAATTATTAACTCACTTCAAGTCAGTGCACTCGACCATAACCTTTAGGGACGACCTTAGTAGAGGTGAAGACAGGTTACGGACTGAAGTGGGAGTCTGAGTTGAAGATGCTTCGAGTGATCGAGAGAGCGATAAGAGATGAGAGCATCGCCATCGACATCTCCGTGACCTACTGTGCCGCACATGCTGTTCCTATGTTAGATGTTTCGGTGACGAAGATGATTATTTGGTGGCGAAGATGATGACGTTTTTGACGACGATACGGTGGTGACAGTGACGATGATGACGATTTATTGACGTGATTATGATTTTGATGATGATGGCGACGATGATGATAATGATGATGGCCTAGCTGATGACGACGTATTAGTAAATGTTGAATAGATATTTCAATAATTGGTTTTAACAGATTCATCTTAGTTTTTCGAATTTGATGACGCTACTAAAAATGTTTTCAATCATTATTACCATCATCGCTCCGTTTAACCATCAGCATTGTTTTGAAATTAGTTACCTTTTTTGACATAGTATTAATCACACCATCATATCACCACACTAGTCTTTGCTTTTTTCATTGCATATTCTTTCTTACCACTCTCTTCATGGTTGTCAATTTTTGTCGTTATCATCGTCTTTATCATCACAACAATTATTTTCCTTTTCGGCTGTCATCATCAACTAACTGATTCACCCACTCATTCATTCACTCATCTACTCCTTCATTCACTCAGTGGCATGACAGCAGAAGAAGCCACAGTAAACATCATTGAAGAACAGATCCCCGAACTACAAAGATTAAGATTGGCTGGTTAGATTAATTTCAAAATATTATAATTTTATCATACGTTTAAAAATTCCTCATATCGGTTAGTCAGGTCTGTGAGCAGATTATAAAAAGTTTCTCCAACACTGAGAAAATGTTTAAATGTGAAAAATATAAAAAAGTTAAAAATTATGTGGCTCGTGTGAAAATAAATAAACTTTTCACTAACCTTCAGACATTTCATGAACTGATGTTATGTAAAATCACTTGTATCACTTAATCATCCAACAAAGCATATAAAATTACAAATGAACGTTTTAAATTCTGCAGCAACTTTAAAAATCAACAACAAAATTTACGAGACCACTAATGCAACAACAACTAATAAACAACAATAACAACAACAACATAAAGATAAACAACAACATAAACAACAACAACAACATAAACAACAACAACAGGTGAAATCCACGTGGATAACATCGACGTTTTCTGCGAGGTCGGTGTCTTCGATGTCAATCAAACGATACGAATACTAAAGGCGGGAATCGAAATCGGACTAAAAGTGAACTTCCACGCCGGAGGAATTGCACAGATTACATTCGGCTGAGGTCTTTCAGACCACACCACAATTTCAATACCTACTGATTCTCAGTTTTAATTTTGTTTCAAATTTTCGTTTTCATATCGCTTTTCAATGTTTTTTTCAAATTTGGCAGATGAATACATTGGCTTTTCTCGTGTTAATTTTTAAAATTTACATTATTATTTGGTTATTTTAATGCCAAGTTTAAAAATTCCTATTTAGTTGAAAGGGTATTTCAAGAACTTTTTCTATTAACTTTCGTTAGATGGGTGCTTCTCTGAATAGTACATCAATGAGTCACCTGGAAGAGATCAGTGACGAAGGTATTGAAGCCATGTCTCAGTCGAACACTGTCGCCGTTCTCCTGCCTACAACTGCCTACATACTACGGTCCACCACATTAATTAGCTTTTAATTAATTAATCAATTAATTAATCAATTAATTAATGAATCAACCAGTCAATCTATTCTCCCATTTGGTTGAATTAATCTGCAATTTAAGTTGAGTACCTAAGTGTCCAAATGTTGCTAGGTATGAGTTTTGCAGTCCAAATGCTCTTTATACTCAAAACACTATCAACATTTCCACAAAAATTGAATAATCATCCTAATATTTTCGCCATAATAAAAACAGATGCAGATACGATGCATTAATGTAACAACATTGTCGCCAAGATTCTTAAAATTTCTCTGCTTGGCGATTTTTATTACTACATTTATTTCCACAAATAAGCTACTGCATCCACTGTTATTTTTCTCAACAAAAATTTGTTACCAGGCTGCAACCACCACCAGCCAGGAAGATGATCAAAGCTGGTGTAGCCGTGGCACTGGGTAGCGATTTCAACCCCAACGCTCACTGTTTTGCCATGGTGGGTTGGTGTCCATCGCTGATTGGTTACTGATTGGTGGGAGGTGGAGTTAATAATTTTGATTGACGTGGGGCTAGATTGTATTTATTGTGCTGTCATTATGGATGAAAAATTTTGATGGCTACTGTAATGTTGTGGGAAGTTAGTGCCGGGTGATGGTGATGATGACGACGATGATGATGATTATGATTACAATAATAATAATGATTACGTCGACGATGACTAAGATGATGAAAAGGTGTGATGACTTCGAGAGTAATGAGGACGATGTCAGGTAAGCGATTTCAGAGTTTTAAAGATAATGGCGGGAAGGGTGATTTTGAGATCGAGGAATAAAAATTATGAAAAATTGTATTATTAACAAAACAATCTATGTACATGCTAATCGTACATACTGTCACACACATACATACAATTGCACACGCGCGCGCACACAAACGCGTGACGTAATAATATTCACGCACATCCACGTTAGCCAATTGTGATGCACTTAGCATGCATACAACTGAAGCTCACAATGCAAGAGTCGTTGGTGGCCGCCACACTAAACGCTGCCGCTAGTCTTTCAAGGTCTGACGTGAGTGGGTCATTAGAAGAGGGAAAATATGGGGACATTCTTGTTCTGGATGCTCCAAGGTTTGTGGGTTGCCAGGGGGTTTGAAGGGCTACCAGAAATTGTGGCTTGGGGGGATAACTGAGTGGATCGGAATTTTCAACTTTTTGATGAAATGGTTGGGGTAATGGAAGTCATCCGTCTTCATCTGCTTATGTATTCATTTTTTGCATAGAAATTATTCATTCTTTTCTCTATTCATCCATCGCTTTGAAAGTCGTTCAATCAATCCGTAATCTCTTTTAACCGCGATACGTTCATTCGTTTTGTTCATTCATACGTTCATTCGTTCATTCATTTGTTCATTCATTCATTCATTAATTAATTCATTTATTCATACATACATTCATTCATTAGTCTGTAGTCCATTTTTTCATTCATTTATTTTCAAAGTTTTTTAATCCTTCGTCCATTTATTTGTTCTTTCTATCATATGATCTCATACATCATTCATGTAGTTTTAGATTTGAATGCTACTATAACTCATTCATCTATTCCCTCACTCGCTCGCTCACTCACTCATTCACTCACTCACTCACTCACTCATCCACTCACGTACTCACATACAGATGGGAACATTTGATCTTCCAACTGGGAAGCCATCATCACGTGATCGAATACGTCATCAAGAGGGGCAGAGTTGTCCATCAATCAAGCAGGCTTTCGTGATGCTCATGAATTTGTTTACTCGCTAGTCGATGCACGCACGCACGCACGCACACTTGCACATACACATACACACACACAGCGCACGCATAATAACGTCTGCATATATACACACATAGATACACGCGCACATATACACGCAAACACACACGCATTCACGCAAACATGAAGGTATTATTAAACCGGATATATCAGTAGAAAACATTGTATACATGAATTTACTCTAATTTAAGTTTTATACATATAATAAGTTATTATACAAAAATTTAATGATAACACATGAGTACGGCACTCATAACATCGAATTGGTATTCTTGTAATAAATATTCCAACTACAAGAACTTGTTTGTTGCACCTTGCCGCGTCCGCTCTTCAAAGCCTCGAATCATGATTCCATATTAACCTCACGACTGAACTCACCATATGAAACTCTAATGAATACGATGATGATGGCGATGATGAAAGTGATGAGTGCTGTGGTGATAACGATGATCGTTTTAATGATAAGCAAATAAAGTGATGATGCTGGTGATGATGAAATGATAACGTAAATCATTCAGTGATAGCGGTTGGTACTAGCAAGGATGATTGTGATAACTTTGATTTGATAGGTGTGACAATAAGTGATGAAACGGATGATAGTAATGATGAAAGTGTTGATAACGATTATAGTGAACGCTTACGGTGGCGATGCTGAAATCCCTCCAACACATGCTTTTTGTTTACTTTGATTTGGGAAAAACATTAGATTGGAAATAATAGACTAGAAATTCCCAAAAGCTAT